CCTCTGAAGTGCTGCCATCAAAGACTTGCCCCACCACCGCCTGGCTTGTATATGTTTTTTTTTTTTTTTTTTTTTTTTTTTTGAGACAGGTTTTCTCTCCTGGAACTAGCTCTTGTAGACCAGGCTGGCCTGGAACTCACAGATATCCACTTGCCTCTGCCTTCTGAGTGCGGGACTAAAGGCTTGTGCCACTACTTCCTGGCTTGTATGTGGTTTTTAAATAGATTTATTTTTACTATTTCTAGTTAATATGTGTAAATGTGTGTTTGTGTGGATTTATGCATGTGAGTGCAAGTGTTCTTGGAGACCCAAGGTGTCACCTTAGTACGGGCAGCTATGAGCCACCTGACATGACATGGGTGGTGAGAATTAAGCCTTAGTCCACTGAAAGAACAGGATGTTCTCTTAACAACTAAGCCATCTCTCTAGCTCTTTTATTTTTTATTTGTTTGGGCTGTATTTTTTTTTACCCTTGTATTTCAAATAGTTCTCTTGTCTGCAGTGAGATTATTGGTATAATCTACCAGTAAGTGTGTCTCTTGTTTGATTTTTAGAAAAAGTCTCATGTAGCTCAGGCTGACCTCGAGCTCCTGATCTTCCTGCCTGTACTTAACAGGTGTTGGGATAATTGGTGTGTAGCATCTTATTCATTGTATTCCTTTTTTTTGGTTAAAGTTTATATATTTTAGAAGTGCTAGTATAGGTCAGTGATCCAGATGTTTGACAAATAGCAAAGCTACACATTCTAATTCTAGACGCTAGTGAAATTGTTACTCCATACAGACCATACATCTCAGAAATCCTATGTTTGTGTCCCAGTTTCACAAATTAACTGTTACCATGGTTATGAAGACTCCAGTGTTTTCTCTTATAATGATGCATATATTCCCACCAGGTGCTGTATGCAAATGGGATGAGATAGAATCTATGTGTGCATGTGCATGTATGCATTTAATGTCTCTTGTGTAGGGAGTAGGGTGAGAGTGCAATGGTGCACTCTGGAGGTGAGAGGGCACTTGGGAGGGATGGCTTCTCCCCTGCCATTGTGTAGGTCCAGGGTCTCTTGTCAAGCACTTTTCCTTGCTGGGCCATCTTACTGGTTGCCCTTATTTTTTATTTTTTATAAATATTTTCCTAAGTCTAACTTACTAATATATTTATCTATGGATTTTTTTTTTAAATTGTACATGATAAACTTTCTTCTTGCATGTGTATCTATGCACCATATGCCTGTAGAGGCCAGATGATGGCATTGGATCCTCCGGATCTGGAGTTACAGGTAGTTGTGAGCCACTATGTGGGTGCTTCTAATTGAATCTTCCTCTAGAAGAGAAGTCAGTGCTTTTAATCACTGTGCCATCTCCCCCCCACCCCCCCCCCACTCTATACAGTGAGATAGGGTCTCACTATATAGGTAGCCCTGGCTAGACTGAAACCTGCTATATAGATGAGGTTGGCCTTTAGCTAGCAGATCTATGTGCCTATTTCTGAGATTAAAGGTACATGGTCAGCATGCCCAGCATGGCAGGGTTTCTTTATGCAGCTCATGCCATTCTCTATGGACTCTATTGGCCTGGAACTTGTAACACTCTGCTTTCTCATCCCAAAGTGTTACAGATTTGCCATCAGATCTAGCAGGGACATTTCTTCTTCATCTGTACAATAGGAAAATGAGTAGTTCCCCACCATCATCACTATTTATTGAGCATTTACAGTGTACTAAGCACAATAGAACATACAGAAAACATTGTCTCTGCTCTTGAGCAGCTTACATTCTAAAAAAAAAAAATACTCCTCTTTAAAAATGCCATTTTTGTTTGGTGTTTTCTGTAAGGTACTGAGGAAATACTTGGTAGGGTGTGAGCTTTGGGTATGACTGAGCCCCATCTTTACTTGAGAGGAAGAAGAAGGATTTTAAAGGGAGACGGTGACAGACCATTTGGAGCAGGATTTCCAGGGAGATAAACACAGGCTCAACCAAGGAGAGCTGGGCTGTAGGAAAGAGGATGAGGGGAGGCTGTGGGATGCAAGCAGAGGAAGTGGGTATCGCAGACACTGAGTGGAGCCAGAAAGGTCATGCGGCCTTTCCCAGATACTGGCCAACGAGTCGGAATGGCTGGTGACAAGACAGTAAAAGGAGAGTGGTCCTGTGCACCCGACAAGTAGAGATAAAGGGCTGGAAATTAAAGGCAGGCCAGAAGAGCATCAAGAAATTCTTAAAAACCAACAGTGATATGGAAGCACAAAACTTAACAGTTAATGTTGCCCAGTGTCACAGTGGGCCAAGAACACTGTGGCTTTCTAAGTTAGAAAATGCCATAGACGCAAAATTTTAAAGGGAACACATTACCTATTGCCAAACAATCTCCCACACACCCCAAGAAAATGAAAGGTCCACACCAAGTTTGGAGTGAGGTGAGAAAGGAGAGCCTAGGTATAGGACATGGTTGAAAATGGTAGTTACATTAGCGTTTTTTGTTGCTGATAAATTTTGCACTGCATTCAAAATTGGTAAAAGCCCATTAGCTGCCAAGAGGGAATAAGGGCACAGTTTCCTTTAGAGAAGTCTCAAAACCAAGACTAATTTACATGAAAAGCTGTAGAGAAAAGTAGTTGAAAAATCCATTCATAAAACTTTTATTCCACCTACATGAACTTTAATACATGTGTTCTTAACAATTATGCTTGGATTGTTCATGAAAATTTCATAAGATATTAAACAAAGCTAGCCATCATCTCAAGTCATTTCCCTGTTAACTATTTTTACAGCACATGCATGTTAGGCAAGTATTAAAAAGAAAAAAAAATCACAAAAGCAAAATACAAAACAAAAATTAAAAAAAAAAAAAATTAAATCCATGGGGTTTTGTTTACCGCTGTGCTTGATACACATGGAGCAGTGAACACCAAGCAATTCCTTTTTACTGCATCTTTAACTTTTACATTTGTTCTTAGATTGCTTAAAACATTTAAATACAAATAAAATGTGTAGCAAAAATAATGAAAGCAAACAGCAGGTAACTTTACAAATAAAAAAAAATTTCTGCCCTTATCAGATTAAATTGGGTCACAACTCTGTCTAAGGACCACTTCCAGAGCTGTGGTCAGAGTGTGCATGCAGAGACACATGATCCGCAAGTGTATCCAAGGGACACATCTGTTTGTACCACAGCATCACAAGTGCTCCAAACCTTAAAGTACCCACAAAACTACACTCTTGACTGGAACTGATTACCCCTTTCATTCCCCACCAGTACAAGCCAGTATGTAGGTAATTTTCTTTGCTTAGACATGGAAGCAGTGTTAACACTGGCCCTTCTAAAAAGCTACAGTGTACCAAGAGTAGAAGTATAACTCGTGTAAAAATTCCACTTCCCCATATTGGTCAGCTCAAGATGAAAACAAGTAACTCCCCAAAGTTAACTGGCTCTACTCCCCTAATATTAAAACATAAAAACTACATGGGAAATATAGAAATTCAAATAGAAGTAACATAAACTTGTCATAAATCATAAACAACAACAAAAAAAACAAAAAACTGTGGGACAGCATGGATGACAAATGGTCTACTGTGTAAATTTTAGAATGAGGCAAAGGTTGGAAGGCTGTTAATTTTTCCCTCCTTCTCCTGCTTCTGCTTGTCTCCTTGGGTATCTGATGTCCACAATGTCAAGTTTTCTCTCAGTAACTGCATTATTAGTGTGCTGTCTTTGTACGACTCTTCACTTACTGTATCAAGTTCAGCAATGGCTTCATCAAAAGCTGTTTTTGCAAGAGAGCAGGCTTTCTCTGGGGAATTCAGAATCTCATAATAGAAGGCAGAGAAGTTAAGGGCCAGACCCACTCTGATAGGATGTGTTGGTTGCATTTCCTTTTTGCTGATTTCAAATGCTTCTTGGTATGCTTGCTGTGACAATTCCTTTCTTGTCAACACCAGCAGCAACCTCAGCCAGGTAATTGTAGTAGTTGTCTTTCAAATAGGATCAAGAATTTTTCCAAAAGAGACAGCACATCATTGCAGATGTCTCTTAATTCAGCCTCAATTTTCTCTCTGTACTCCTGAGCCATCTGCTGCTGCTTCTCGGCACCTTCCGTCTTCTGCTTGATGCTTGAGGCAATCCTCCAGGATGACCGACGGGCTCCTACTTCATTTTTATAAGCAACAGAGAGGAGATTCCTCTCCTTGTTAGATACTCTGCTCCTTGCTGGGTTACACACTTCATGCAGACTGCCATGTCATTGATGTCATTGTACCACTCAGCCTGCTCAGCCAGTTTGGCCTTCTGCACCAGCTCATTTTTATCCATAACTGGGTACTCTGTGTGCGGAGTGGGTGGCAGCACATGGACCCGGCTTGGCAGTGTCCCTGGGCAGTGGTGGTGGTGGCGGCGGCAGTGAGGCTGAGACCAAATAGCTTCTTTCAAATATCAAATAGTTTGTCAATATGTTTTGTGAGTTTTAGGGATTTTTTTTTTTTTCATTTTGTTTTATGTCTTTGGGTTTTGTTTGTTTGAGACAGGGTTACTCCATGTAGCCCTGGTTGTCCTGGAACTCAGTCTGTAGATAAGGCTGGCCTAGAACTCAGAGATCTACCTGCCTCTGCCTCCTGAGTGCTAAGATTAAAGGTGTGTCTCACCATTGCTTGGCTATTGTTAGCTTTTTTTTTTTTCTTTCAAGACAGGATCTCAATATTTAGTTCTGCTTGTTTAGGAACTCACTAATAGACTAGGCTGGCTTTGATCTCAGAGATCCACCTGTCTGTCCCCCTAGCACTGCCATTGAAGGTGTTCGCTACCACACCCAGCTGAGTTTTATGTATTATGACCAGATCTGTAGTACAATTACCACCTCCATAGTAAACCACCATAGCCACATGATGGTGTGTGGTTTTCAAGTCAGACAGCAGGCATGTTGGTTTCCTTCCACTATTAATTTGGGGCAGAGTTCCTAAAGAAGTTGTTTTGGAGATTCTGGTGACTTCCTTCTTGGTTCATTTGCAGAAAGACAAGAGAATGGAGAAAGCGATAGAAGGAAAAAAACTAAAAAGGGTACCAAGAGAAAACGAGATGGAAAGGGTCAAGAACAAGGGACAATGGCCCATGACCTAAAACTGGATGACATGCTGGATCGTACCTTGGAGGATGGTGCTAAGCAGCACAATCTGACAGCAGTCAATGTACGGAACATCCTGCACGTGAGTAATGGGCAGCTACATAGTCAACCTAGAAACTTTGCATCGAGAACAAATAAGTAGACCTGTAACTCCCCTGACTCTGGGTATATGAATTAGCAGTTTTGTTGGTTGAGTGTGACAAAATGTGTTACATCTAAGGATAGCTTTCTCTTTGCACTCAGCACAAGTGAGAAGTCTGAACAGGAGTTGAGATGAACTGCCTGTACCTCCTTCCACTGATTTGATTAATAAGATTCCTAGTCAGAAAAACATCCACAGTAGTTAGTAGTGCTTTGTACATGTGTGAAGAATGCCTTTGAGAGCTAGAAGAAGAGTATTAGCTTATCATGCACAACAGGCAAGATCAAAAATATAATGCCTTTGATACATAATTCTCTTCCACCTCTGTCCTGGATCTGTTATTTCTGTCCCAGTAGTAGCAGGTAATGGATGGGACTATTTGCTGCAACATTGTTTCAAGGTTTGCCTTTCCCTTTTTTATCTTCAGTTGTTTTTCTTGAGTTCAGTTTAAGGATCTAGCTTCTGTTTATTCTCTGCAGAGATCTATGTCTAGTGGCAGTTACATAGAAATGAATATTGTTCAGATGACAGACTCTTGGCATAAAGTGGGATTTCATCTCTCTCCTCTAGGAAGTAATTACAAATGAACATGTTGTAGCGATGATGAAAGCTGCCATCAGTGAGACAGAAGACATGCCACTCTTTGTGAGTAGCCTCTTGTCTCTTTCCATGTCATGGAAACTTTTCAATGTGGGTGGTCATGTAGGAGTTTGTAAATAACTTGACATATCTCAGATTGGAAAAAGCACATTTGGAAGTTTTATTGATTACTTTCTTCATTTATCTCTCTTCTTAGGAGCCAAAGATGACACGCTCTAAACTGAAGGAAGTGGTGGAGAAAGGAGTGGTATGTGTTGTGAGTTTCTCGAGGGAAATAAAATCTTATTCTTGGTTATTCATAGAGAAGAAATACGTCAACAGTTTGGTCTGGGATTGACTTTTGAAGGAATTATGTGTGGGCTGAGGCTCTCAGCTCAATATGAGAAATATATATGGGACTGCAGTGTGAACCACCCTGCCCAGGTTTTCATGCTGTGCCCTGGCATGCGTCAAGGGCAACCCACTTACATCCTGGGTTAGTGCTTTCTTCATTTTCTTCTGTGTAGCTGTTGCAGTTGGTGGTGGTGGGTTGTTTGAGACAGGGTCTCACTCTATGACCCAGGCTGACCTGGAACTTGCAGCACACCTCAGGCTGCTCTTTATCATGTTCTACTCTACCTCTCTCAACCCTGCAAGTGCTGGGTTATAAACCCCACAAATATTTGAGAATGTGATGCTCAGTGACCATTGTTGCTACTTACTAAGTAGTTAGGTCTTTGTGATTAGATTATCAGTAAAAGGAAAAGCAGATACATGTTATAACTGACATTCTTTTTGGTAGGTAATTCCAACTTGGAATATTTCGCCAATTAAGAAAGCCAATGAAATTAAGGTAAACTTGGAAGTCTTGTTACCCTTTTCCCAAAATACTTCATCAGTTTTGAAACCTAACTACTTTGTCTGTATTCACTACTTTGTAGACATGCTTTTTTTTTTTTTTTTTTTTCCTTTTTCTTATTTTATTAGAAGTTTGGGTTTTTCCATTATTACACTAGCCTTTTACCTAATGGAATCATAAAAACCTTGCTGTGACGTTTGATGTGGCTGCACATTAGACTTATAGAATTCTTCCCCCCCAATATATTCACTTCCTTTTCCAAATGTGTGTGACTTATACTTTCCCTCCATCCCTCCCTTTGCTCCTTCCCTCCCTACACCTCTCCCTTTCTTCCTTTCTGCCTTCCTCCCTCCCTTCTTTCCCTCCCTTCTTCCCTCTCCCCTCCTCCCTCCCATCTTTTATCTGCTGCAACCAGAACCTAGAGCCTTATGCATGGAAGCATGTATCTGTCTCTGAGCTTTTTATTCTCCAGCCCTGTTCCATTTCTTTAAAATTATATATATATATATATATATATATATATATATATATATATATTTTATATATATTATATATATACTTTATATATAAAATTTTATATATATTTATATTTGTGATGTATGCAGTGTTCTGCCTGCATGCATCCCTGCAGGCCAGAAGATCTCATTATAGATGTCTGAGAGCTACCATGTTGGCGCTGGGAATTGAATTCAGGACCTCTGAGAGAGCAGCTAGGGCTCTCAACAACTGAGCCCCCCCCCATTCCACTTCTTTCTCTTTGTTATTTATTTATTTACTTATTTTGTGTGTTGAGGGGTGGGAGCACCTGCCATAGCATGTATTGGTTCTTTCCTTCTACCATACTGGTCCTGAGATTGAACTTGGTCATTGGGCTTGTGCCTCTATCTGCTGAGCAATCTTCCTCCTACCCCGGTGTTTTGTATTTCCATTAAAGCAGCCTCCACAGTTTGTGGATATTCACCTAGAAGAAGATGACTCCTCAGATGAAGAGTACCGGCCAGATGAAGAAGAGGAAGATGAGACTGCTGAAGAGGTTAGTGAGTGTTCATTGTTAATGAAGGAAAGAACTGGGCTTGGTAAGGATGGTCTTATTTGGTGACTCGGTATTGTCACCCATTCTATAGAGATGGTTCTCTTTTCTACTAATGTCTTTGCTGTGAGTTGTTTCTCTCCTCTTCAAACTCCCTAAATAATTAGGCTTATGTTGTGGAACACATATAATACAAAGATACAGCATAATTTTAGCACTTGTGAAATGGAGTTAGGAGGGTCAGGAGTTCAGGCTTATCCATAGTATGTTCTAGACTCTGTATTAGACACCAACAGAGTGTAACCTCCCCGCCTTGATGCCTTGGTAGTTATTTACTGTTTTTTTCACTTAAACATGCATGTCTACATACTGTGGTATACTTTGTCTTGTTTTTGAGCTGTATCATTATTTTCCTATTTTGTTTTAGTTTTTGAGAAAAGATCTCAGTGTGTGGCCCTGCTTGACCTGGAATTCCCTGGGTAGATCAGGCTAGCCTCAGACTCAAAGAGATCCTCCTGCCTCTGCTACCTGAATGCTGGGGATGAAGCTATTTGCCTTCACGTTTGGTTAATAACACTTTTTTCAGAAGAGGTCTTCTTTTTCTCCTTCTGTTGTTTTTGTTTTTGTTTTTTGTTAATCCCTCTGATAGTTTATAATGAAGATGAGGCTATAGAAATGATCCCTGCCATCTTTCCCTCCTTAGGCTATTAAGTCATTGAAAATTCATTGTCTTTCTAAAATGTGTGTTATGATTATATTCTTTCTATGGCATAATTATTATGTAAACTATATATTGATGTGTGTATATATACGCATACATCTGTGTGTGGGGTGTGTTGTTTGTGTGTGTGTGCCACCGTTTGCGTGTATAGATCAGAGGACACCCTGGTAAGATTTGATCCTTACCTTCCACCATGAGGATCTTGGGAATGAAAGTCAGGTCGTCAGGCTTGGTCACATACACCTAGTCAAGTGCTGTGCTGTCCTGGCAACCCAAATCCCAAATGACTGCTATTTTGTGACTTATTCTGTTGTGACATTTCGTGCTCCGGACTGAGGTTGGGGCACACACGTGAGCGTGCACTGGGTTTGTTTTAGAGCTTATTGGAAAGTGATGTTGAAAGCACTGCTTCGTCTCCACGCGGAGTGAAGAGATCCAGACTGCGAGCGTCTTCTGAAGTGGCTGAGACAGATGAGGAGAGTGGCATGTTGTCAGAGGTAACCCAGCGTCAGACAAGGGAGACTTTAGACATTTATATGCGCAGTGGCTTCTTTTATAAATGGTGGATTTGCCAATGTTAATGGTGGGTTGTCACCTTTTCAAAGTTCTTGGACTGGAGAGAATGAAGAGCTAAAGTCATGGTCAGAGAAGTTTCCTGAGTTCCGTTAAGGGTCAAATGTGTGCAACCCATGTTTTAAGTACTGTCTTTAAAGCCAAGTAGTGTTCTGTTTGTCTCGCTGAAGTAGGATGAGACCTAGTTAGATCCGTGTGTTGAAATGGCCATTTACCTGTCTCCATCTAGAAAAGAGGAAAACGGCCACATTGACTGCATGCGAAGACCAACTTTCCCTCTCTTGCTTTCTTCCTAACACAGTGTCCTTTTTAACCAGGTTGAGAAAGTCACCACACCTGCTGTTAGGCACATCAGTGCTGAGGTAGTGCCCATGGGGCCCCCACCTCCTCCAAAGCCAAAGCAGACCAGGGATAGCGCTTTCATGGAGAAGTTAAATGCAGTAGATGAGGAGCTGGCTTCTAGTCCTGTCTGCATGGGTTCTTTCCAGGTAAGCACCATGACTCTGAATTGCTGAGATGTTCTGAGTGATGGGTATTTAATTTCTCATTCTCAGATATGGTGATGGAGCTGACAGAACAATTACATTTAAATTTTCCTGTATTTGTTGTGGTATCTTTTGTCTTTGATTCTCTTGCTTAGTTTGTGCTGTTTTTCTCAAGTAAAAAAGGCAGTGTTTCTGTTTCTATTTTTCATTATTATAGCTATTTTGTTAGTTATTAGTTTAATGATGATGATTAATATTAGTTATACTTATAATTAAATTTGTCTTTTGGTGACAGTGTCTCTCCATGTAGTGTTGCCTATAGTGGAACTATCTCTGTCGACCAGCCTGGCCTCAATCTGAGAGATCCTCCTGTCTCTGCCTCCTGAATGTTGAGATTATAGGCGTTCATCACCCAGCCTGGTGTCTTTTTTTTTTTTGTATGTGTGTGTTTTAGAGACCTTGAAGGCCTGGAACTTGATATGTAGGCCTGGCTGGCCATACACATGAGTCTGTCCTCATGCCTTAGCTTCCTAGAATGCTGGAATTATGGGTATGCACCAGCATGCCTGATGGAGAATGGCACTTTCTGAGAAAGGAATAAATTGTGGGACAGTATGTAAAACTGGGAAGATAAGATGGCTATAGTGGCACATGCCTTTAGTCTCAGCTCTAAAACCAAAATTTAAAAAAAGGTAATGTGAAGGAAACCTAAAACATTTCAAAATATTTGGAAGGTACTTTTTGATAAGTGACTTTCCACTATAATAAATTTAAAAAAAATCTTAGAATTCTGATGTTGGACAGATGGTTCAGTGATTAGAAACAGTGATTCCAGGGGTGGTAGTAGTGGTGGTGGTGATGGGTAGTGGTGCACAGCTTTAAACCTAGCACTCAGGAGGCAGAGGCAGGAGGACCTCTGAGTTCCAGGCCATCCTGGTCTACAGAGTGAGTTCCAGGACAGCCAAGAGTACACAGGGATACCCTGTCTTGAGAAAAAAAACAAGACAACAACAAATACTGGGAACCTCAGGTTCAATGCTCAGCAGTCCTGCAGCCACAACTGCCTCAAACTCCCCACACCTTCTTTTGGCCTTTGTTGGCAATGCTTGTAAATGGTAAATGTCACACCTGTAAAATTACCCATGCATGTAAAAATAAAAGTCTCTAAACCGAGGGCTAACAAAAGGGTTCAGCAAGTAAAAATACTTGGCAGCCAAACCTGATTATTGATTACATTTCCCAGAATCTACCGGGTGGAAGATGACTCCCATAAGTTTTGTGACTGTCACATGTTCATCAGTACATGAACAAATGTTCACAATACATAAATGCTCTATAAATTTCCTTGCTGGGCATGCTGATACATGCTTTAGTCCCACAACTGGGGGACTTCATGATGAATTCCAGGTCAAGTAAGGCTATGTGGTAAGACTCTGTCTCAAAAACAAAAATAATCCCCCCAGAAAACCTCACCCCCAAAGTAGAGGACCCAGGTATGGTTCCCAATACCCACATTGTGGTTTACACACATGTAACTTCTGTTCTGGGGTATATACCGCCCTCTTCTGTGGGCTTTGCATACATGTGGTGCACATACATTCGTGCAGGTAACACACACTCACACTAAATCTTTAACAAATTATTTATTTATTCATTTTAAGTGTATGAGTGCTCTGTCTGCATATGTCTTTATGCCAGAAGTGGTTATCAGATCCCACCTTAGATGGTTGTGAGCCACCATGTTGTTGCTAGGAATTCAACTCAGGATCTATGGAAGAGCAGCCAGTGCTCCTAACCTCTGTGCCTTCTCTCCTGCCCCTAAAAAATAAATCTTTTACAAAATGTTATCATACTTAACATGCAGGGGATAAGTCATGATCACAAAGGTGGTTAACTTAAAGCAAGGCTTATCCATTGCACACCGGATGTACTGACCCCTGAGATTTCCCCAAAGCTGGGAAACTTGAGTACATAATTTGTGGTAGTGGGGAACTGTGTTGACACTCTACTCTATAGGTAAACTTAAATATTTATTAAAAAAGAAAAAATTATGCAGATATAAAACTAGATTCAGATGATAGTAAATCCCCATCATTGTAGTTTTGTTTGTTTTTGTTTATTGAAACAGGGTCTCACTGTACAGGCCTGGCTGTTTTGGAATTCTGTATGTAGACCAGCCTGGGTGTGAATTCACAAGAGATCTGCCTGCATCTGCCTCCCAAACGCTGTAATTAAGGGCTTGGGCCACCACACCCAGTTAGAAAGACAGGAAACTACACTGTCTGGAGAAGAGAACTAGGTTTTTAAGTAGGGTGTGTTGCAGAGGGTGGAGTTTGGAGTTTGGAGAATTTGGAAGCTTATTTTCACCTACTGGATGCTTTTTCTTTCTCCTTTGACCAGCCCATGGAGGATAGTCTCATTGCATTCCGAACTCGGTCTAAGATGCCCCTGAAAGATGTTCCTCTGGGCCAACTAGAAGCTGAGCTTCAGGCTCCAGATATCACCCCGGATATGTATGATCCAAATACAGCTGATGATGAGGACTGGAAGGTGTGGCTGGGGGGCCTCTTAAATGATGACGTGGAGAACGAGGGTGAGTGATTTTGTTTGTGTTTATCAACTTCTCAGTTCTACTTTATCTTTAGAGTGGGAAATTTTGTTACAGTTTGGAAGCCTTAATAGTGGGTTCTTGTCTAGGCATGTTAGCTTCGACTTGTCCTTTCAGCTATTTGGGAAGTTGAGGCAGGAAGGTGCTCTAAGACATGAGGCTATCCTGGAGAACATAGCAGCACTTGTCTTAAACAGAAGGATGAGATTGTGGAAGAAAAGTTTGGTTTAGGAGAAGAAAGAGCATGTGACATGATTAATTAGGGAAATGAGCTGTAGGTTTCAGGAAGTAGATAGATGATAATTTCTTTCTTTAAAGCTGCATCATTTGTATGTGTCCATTAGGACACTTACTACATATATGAAGAAAACCAGTGATTAGAGAGGGATGGTCTCCAGATAAGCTCTGCTAACTGAACTTTCTCATACCTAGCAAATAAATGATGTTAGATATGGGACTTTATCAAATTTTTACCATGTATGGATCTGGAGAGATTGCTCAGCAGTTAAAAGTACTGCCTGATTTTTGAGAGGATCTAAGTTAAGATTCCCAGCACCCACATTAAGTGATCACAACCATCCATAGTGCTAGTTCCAGAGGAGCCGTTGACTTTCTTAATCTCCTGGGGCACCAGGCACCTGGTGCACACATTCACATGCAGGCAAAACACTCACACATCAAATAATAATAACTCTTAAAAGTTACTCTGTTTTTAAAACATATGACCTTTTTTTTTCCCTCACAAATTCTTTGTTCCATCTGACCTGCCTATTCTTAAAAGCCAGAATCTTAAAGCTGGGCAGTGTGGGTGCACTTGTTTAATCTCTGCACTTGGGAGGCAGAGGAAGGCAGATCTCTCTGAGTTTCACTCTAGTCTGGTGTACCAAGCAAGTTCCAATACCTCCAGAACTACATAGAGAAGTCATCTCAGAAAACAAAAGAAAAGAAAACAAAATGAACCTTGTTTTATGTGTGTGTGTATGTATGTATTCCATGTGTGCCTTGTGCACAGGGAGGCCAACAGAAGGTTTCCGCCTTATCTGGTGCCCAACATGGGGTGACATGTAACTGACTTCCTATCCCGACCACCTGTTTCCAAATACCTGGCAGTTGCTTCCCAAATAATTGACTCAGAGGCTTAATATAAATTAGAAATGCTCAGCTGCTCAGACTTGTTACTATCTAATTTTTTACACTGAAATTAACTCTAATTTCTATGTATGCTTTGCCACGTGGCTCATGGCTTGTTACTTCATTTTTTACATGTCCTGCTTGCTCTGTGACTGGCTGGCTGGTGTCTGTCCTCAGACTCCACAAATTGCTTGCCATCCTCCTTAGTTTGTTCACACTGCTTATACTTCCTGCCTGGCTACTGGCCAGTCAGTGTTTCATTAAACCAATTGTGACTAATCTTTAAAGTGTACATGAGGATTATTTTACACATTTCTCTTTTTAACATTTTTTAAGATTTTTAAAATTTTATTTTATGTCTATAATTGTTATACCTGTATGTATATATGTATATATGCATGTATATATGTGCACCATATGTATTGCGTGCCATGGGCCCCAAGGACCCAACTGCCCAGAGTCCAAAAGATGGTGTCATGTCATATCCCTTGGAACTGGACTAGGAAATGGTTGTGAGCCACCATGTGGGTACTGGAAGCAGGCCCTCTGCAGTCAGTGCTCTTAACCACTGAGCCATCTCTTCAGTCTCTCTGTCTTTTTTTGTTCAAGTCACCCTCCTTCCTTCAGCAGGGTGTTAACAGTGTTCAGGAGGAGCTAATTTATAGCAGGGTTGAGATGTTGATGTCCTGTTTGGCTGGTAATTGGACACAGCTTCTATCCTGGTTGTCTGTTGGCTACATTATGGTGCCTTTAGCTGCTTGGTCTAGGCACTATGATCAAATTTGAACTGGCAGTGTGGACTAGTCTTGGACCTCGTGGCAATTAAGGCCACAGTCTGACCACTGGCAGTGCTTTGGTGGTGTGGTGTCCTTTGGTGGGAGTGGACTGGATCTGCTGTGTTGGAAAGGGAAGAAGAAGGTCTGGGAGGCAGTGGTAATCCCTGCCAAGCAGCTTCAGAGCTTGGGCAACTTGAGTGAAGGAAGGTCAGAGAAGGGAGCAAAAGTAGCCTAATTGGGTCTCCATGCCTCACAGGTAGGATACCAGGAAATTGGCATTTAAGTCTAAGAGTTCAAGACCAATGTGAGTTATATAATGGGTCCAAACAAAAGGTGTGCATTCCGTGCAGTGGTGGTACATGCCTATGATCCCAGCCATCTACAAGCAGAGGCAGGTGGATCTTTGTGAGTTTGAGGCCAGCCTGGTCTATATAGCCAGTTCCAGGCAGGCTCCAACGCTACATATTGAAACCCCATCTTGTAAAACAAAACAAAAAAAAGTGCATATATTTTTAACAAAAAGGGTACAGTTATTATGAAAATATTAGTGGAGGCTATAAAGCAGATTTCCATTGTTTGTTAAAGGTTTTTAAATTTTTTTATATGTATGTATGTGTGTGTGCATATTGCATGTGGTTATTCATGTACAACATATAAGTGAAGACCACAAGACAAGCAGGGGGTAGTATCGATTGCCTTATATCCCAACACTGGGGAGGCAGATGCAGGCAGATCACTCAGAATTCCTAGCACTCAGGAGGGAGCTGCACACATATATCTGAATTTGAGGCCGTTCTGGTCTACAGAGATAGAGTTCCAGGGCAGCCAGGGCTACACAGAGAAACCCTACCCTGAAAAACCAAAATAAATAAAGTTTTTCGCAGAACAGTTTTCTTTTTTTCCTATTTCTTTTTTTATTTATTTAATTTATTATTTTACATGTCGACCCCAGTTCCCTCTTCCTTCCTCCTTCCCTGCGTCCCTCCCTCTCTTTTACCCTCTCTGCCCTCTCACATGCACCCTGACCACCTCCCCTCCCATCCCCCCCACCCCAATTCCTCATGTAGGGCAATGCCATCCAGGTGTGGTCATGTAGATCTGTCAGGTCATTTGAAGTAGGGACTAGGACTTCTCTCCTGTCTCTAGGTTGAGGGAGTATCCCTCCATGGGGGATGTGTTCGCAAGGTCCTTTTGTGCACCAGGGATACATCCTGGTTCCACTGTCTGAGGTCCCTTAGACTGCCCAGTCCTTCTGGCTGAGACCCATTTTCAAGTGGTCTGAGTCAGTCCCATCCTGGATTCCCAGCTATCAGTCTGGGGGCCCATTAGCTCCTCCTTGTGCAGAACAGTTTTCTTATACACACCAACACCTATATTCCACTAGATATTTTTCCATTGCACATGGCCCATACAGTATATTTTTCTTCCTTCAGTCTTTTTGAGACAGGATTTCACTGTGTAGCTCTGGTCCCCTAGAACTCCATATGTGGCCAGGCTGGCCTCTGTCTCTACCTCCCATGTGCTGGGGTTAGAAGGATGACTTAACATTTTCGGCTATCTTTCTGTTCTTTTGTTTATATATGTATGCATGTTTACTTATTATGTGTATATGATATTCTGTCTGCAGGCTAGAATAGGGCACCAGATTTCATTACAGATAATAGTGAACTACCGTGTGGTTGCTGGGAATTAAAGTCAGGACCTCTAAAACACCAGCTTGCTTTTTTTATTTTCTCCACATTTTTTAAGACAATTTTTCTTTTATTTTTAAGGCTTTTTAATTTTTATTTATTTATTTATTTATTTATTTATTTATTTTTATATGCATTGGTATTTTGCCTGCATGTACATCTGTGTGAGGGTATAAGACCTTGGAGTTAGACAGTTGTGATCTACCATGCAGGTAATAGGAATTGAACACTAGTCCTTTGGAAGATAAGCTAGTGCCCTTAACCACTGAGCCATTTCTGCAGCTCCTATTTTTTATTTTTAAACTAGTTTTTGTTGTTGTTGTTGTTTGTTTGTTTGTTTGTTTTTGTTTTTTAGCCATCTTTCCAGCCCCCCTCTTTTCGTTTTTAATGGATACAATATAGTAAAGAGTATGTTGTTGCCTACCAGGTGGTGGTGGCCCACATCTTTAATCCTAGCACTTGGGAGGCAGAGGCAGGTGGATCACTATGAGTTTGAGGGTAAACTGATCTATAGAGTGAGTTCCAGGATAGCCAGAGCTACACAGAGAATATTTGTCTCAAAAAGCAAAAATGAAAAAAATTATTAAATAATTAAATATATAGACTTTTTCTTTTCTTTCTTTTTTTGAGACAGGGTTTCTCTGTGTGATAATCCTAGCTGTCCTGGAACTCACTTTGTAAACCAGGCCTCTACCTCTTGATTGCTAGGATTGATGGTAATCTTTGTTTTTCTTCTAGGTTTCAACCACACTTTAGGTTCTCAATAGTAGCATGTAAGTGATGAGCACACTCTTTTGTACTTAGATACTACCTTTCTCATGCATATACTGAGTATTGGAGTAATGCTTATATATTCACATTTTTCTGTATATATTTTTGTCGTGCTATGACATCATAAATATCTATATTGATGTCTTAAGAGTATATGTGTAGTTGAAATCAAACCCCAAAACTTTGTACTTGTTAAGAAAATGTTACAACATTGAACTGCATCCTCAGCCCCAGATGTCACAGTTACAGGGATCAGTAGGCTCAGCAAGAAACCACCAAATACAGCCACTCTGTGGAGAGAAACAACAGTTTTCATGGATAAAACCTGCCGGGCCTCCTCTGAGGAGAGTAGAGGGCAGTGCAAAAGCTTGTGTTTAGAGGAGCATATGATGAGGGAGGAGGGCACAGCTCAGCCACTAGAACAGCCCTGGGCTCAGTCAGACAGAGGAAGGAGGTGCTCCAGACATGTCAGACCTTCAGTGCTGATTAAGGGCTACTGAGAAGTGCTTTAGCATTCTGTTTCCTAGCAACACCAAACACAGGTGGGACCTGGACCATCACCCTAAAATATTGCTAATCAGCAGTGCAATTTGGGAGCCTGCCTTGGGGACCTAACACAGAGTCCTTTCCTAATTGTTGGGAATTTGTCTCCTTCCTTTTTCCACTACAATATCAAGGTACAAATAGCCTTTACATGAATGTCTGTTTGGGGCCATTGAGATGACTCTGGGTAAAGGTACTTGTTGCAGTCCTGGCTACCTGTGTTCCATCTCCAGAACACACATGGTAGAAGGAGAGAACCATCTTCTGCAGATTATCCACAGATCTTGACATGTGTGTGCCATGCTATATTGACACCTCACACATAATAAAATTTGAAAAGCAGAAGAAAAAAGTGTTGTTGTTATGAGACAAACTAGTCAGAGTGTTTCAAGTTGAGGAGCCTGGCTCAGAGGAGAAAATAGTTACGACAACAAGTAAGCATGTTAAGTAATATATACACAACATTGGAGGGAGAAATATTACCTAAAAATCAGGGAAGGTGGGCATTCCTGAAACATGGCTGCAATCTGTTTTTCTGTTTTGTTTTGTGTTTTGAAGACAGAGTTTTTCTGTGTAGCTTTGGAGCCTAAGCTCTGTAGACCAGGCTGGGCTCGAACTCAAAGACATTCATCTGCTTCTGCCTCTCAAGTAATGGCATTAAAGGCATGTGTCAACACTGCCTGCAATCTTAACACTTGGAAGGCTATGTAGGAGGATCCTAACCTTGAGGCTGACCAGGGCTACATAATGACTTCTAGGCTGGCTTGGGTAAATTAATATGACCCTGCCTCAAAGAACAGAAAGAATAAAGCCAAGATCAATGAGATGAGATGGTTCTGTGTAAAGATGATTGCTGCCCAGCGCAATAACCCCAGTTGTGTCCTAGGACTCACATGGTGGTAGAAGAGAATCATCTTCTATAAGATGTTCTCTGAGCCCCACATGAAAGCTGTCTTAATAACTGTTCTATTGCTCTGAAGAGACATCTTAACAAAGGCAACTTATGAAAAAAAGTGCTCAATTGGGATCTTGTTTACAGTTGTAGATGGGGAATCCATGAGCATCATAGTAGAGAACGGTAGTCATCAGGCAGTCATTGCACAGGATTAGTAGCTGAGAAATTATATCTTATCTGAAAATTGGAGGTAGAGAGAGTGGGCCTGGGGTGAGCTTTTGAAACCTTAAAGTTGAACCCCAGTGACATACTGGCTCCAGTGAGGCCACAGCTCCTAATCATTGTCCAAAACAGTTGCATCAGCCGGGAAGCAAACATTGAAAACTATGAGCCCATGAGTGCCACTCTCATTCAAACTACCACACATGCCAAGGCTTCGGCACACACGTGTACACAAATAAGTTCAGTACAATAAAAGTGAATATCTATTCTCATTGGAAGATTTTTTAATTTCAAAGGTTCAAAGTTGAGGTCTGGGCATGGTAATACCATGGTGCAATCCCATAATCTTCTAATTTAGGAAACAGAAGCAGGCAGATCTGTGGGTTTGAGGGCAGGCTGGTTTACTTAGTGAGTCCTAGGTCAACTAGAGATACACAGTGAGACTCTGTCTCAAAAAGCCAAAGGAAGAGAGAGAGAAACACACACACACACACACACACACACACACACACACACACACACACCTACCTACCTACCTACCTACCTACCTACCTACCTACCTACCTACCTTGCCTGGGGGGAATAAAAGAGGTAGAGATTGAAAAACTATCTACTATCTAAAATATTTCCCCCTAGATGAAGCAGATGATGATGATGATCCAGAATATAACTTCCTGGAAGATCTTGATGAACCAGACACAGAGGATTTCCGCACTGACCGGGCAGTAAGAATCACTAGTAAGTTAGTTTGTTCACAGTTGTCTTTTCCCTATGTCTTTGTTTACTCTGTAGATGTTTTGGAAGCTGATGGTTAATTCAGATTTAGACAATTGAGTTTCATTTGTTTATTTTCACAATTATTTAAATATATAGCTGCTATTTACTTGTATAACTTATAATCCTATTTGGCATTTACTATTTAGCAAAGGTTGTATTATAGTTAGTTCTTTCTTTTTTTTCCCCCAAGACATGGTTTCTCTGGGTAAGATCCCTGGCTGTCCTGGAACTTACTTTGTAGACCAGGCTGTCCTTAAACTCAGAGATCTGCTTTCTGTCTCCCAACTGCTGGGATTAAAGAAGTGTACCACCACTGCCAAAATGAATGTGGACCTGGCCTCTGCCTGGCAGACAATGGGTCTAATAAGTGATAGGTGCTGTGTAGGTTGTTTAGGAATGCCACACTGTTGAAAGAGGTTATCCTTCTTTGAAAGTCTTAAGAAAGGATTCAGAAGATGAGATATTTTAGCTACTGAGGTAGGATTAAGAGATTTGTAGTGAAAAGGGACGGAACAGAAAAGGCCTAATGCAAACAGAAGAGATCCACTAGCTGGAGAGACTAGCTCTATCTATCTTGTTGGTCCCAGGGATCAAACTCAGATCCTTAAACTTGGTGGCTGTTACCTTTACACACTTAAAAAGGGCAACATTTATTTTACTGTTTAATCACCTAGCTCTCCAAGTCCATGTCTGTTCATCTTCTTGTTTTGCTTTTGAAGCAGAATCTCATTGTTTAGCCATAGTTTGCTGCTGACTTAAGTAGCTGGTGTGGTATTGACTTTCAACAGCTATGTTACATCACCTTCCTGAAAATTGCTTTTATTATAAGATCACTGGACATTTTCTGTATATCTTTCCATTAGAATTTAAACTTGATGAAAATAAACTTCTGTCTTTTATCGTTTTGTGAATCCTAAGCATCTTGAATAGGAATTGAAGCATAGTCGGTGTTTCATAACTGTCTGAGTTACTGCTTGAAGAATGGATATGAGCATTTGTTCAGATGCCTTGGGAGAAATAGCATACATTCTCTCCCTAGATGTCTTCCTTACTGCAGAATGAAACTAAGTTCTACTAACATCCTTCTTTGCCTTTTCTCAGAAAAAGAAGTGAACGGGCTGATGGAGGAGCTATTTGAAACTGTGAGTAATGCTTTTTGAGTGAGTAGCTTGGTGAAATTCTTTAGTAAGCTCTATCCTCTGCTGTTAGGGATTTTCACTCCAGCAGAATGGTCTGGCTGTGTCAGAGCCACCGAGAGTACAATGGCCAGGGAATTCTGACTCTTGATTATCCACATGTAGTTAAGCCTTTATTATCCATGGCTATTTCTAGGGGCCTATGGTTGCAGACTCTCATTTGGACAGTGACCATAGAGACATGGTTTTCACAAAATGGTCTCTTGATTTTAGGTTATGTTTGCGATGAAGGGGAAGTTTGTTTAGCTCAGCAAAGTTTGCCCTCATAGAGAGTGGAGTGGGTACTCCCAAAGGGGAGTAGCAGGTAAATGTGTCTGTTTAAAGGTATTTGGGTGTGTGAGGAAACTGGAGAGATGGCTCAGCGTTTAAGAGGACTGCTGTTTTTGCAGAGGATCCAGTGTGCAGTGGTTTACAGCTACCTGTGATTCTAGCTTCAGAGCATCAGACACCCCATCTGCATCTGGCCTTCATGGATACCCCCTTTACTCTCTGTCTCTCTGTCTCTGTCTCTCTGTCTTCCCAGCTCTGGTGTGCACAGAGAAGCTGGTCCCTGGATCTCATGACAGCAGATTTAAAAAGCGATTTAGGAGTGGCTGGGTGGTAGGGTGGGTAGCTGGGTGCTGTGAAGGTGGAAGGACCCATCCTGGGCTGCAGAGCCAGCTCAATGATCCATGAGACTGGTCCCTGGCAGGCAGAGCAGGCTACTAAGCAGCAGGGTGCCACGTGGCTCCGCCCACAGCTTCAGCAGTGCTTGTGATGGCCTTGGCCCCAATCAAGGAGAAGTTGTTTGAAGGGGCGACCAGGAAAAAGGTAAAGGACAAGAAGGGTGTGTGGTTTGAAGTTCCTGGTACGTTTACCCGTACATGTTCTAAGACCCACCTGCCTGTGTTTGTGGAGCAAGGTGGGGCTCCAAAGGGGTGTATGTGGTATCATGTCTGAGTGCCAGAGATGTCTTTGTGATGGAAGAGTGGGGTCGAGCCCACAGGGCAAGGTTTGGCTCTTGGCTGACCACACTGGGGCCTTTGGGAAGCAGACAGATTTGTTACTGGATGATCCTTTGATGTCCCTTGTTGGGAATCATGGCTGTAGAAGTTCTCCATGGTGATAGGCAATGGCATAGTAAAGGCCCTGAATGTGGAGCCAGGGCCTCAGCTACAGCCTGGCTTCCAGAACCTTTCACATCTTTGAGGCCCTGCCAGATGAAAGCCCTCAGTTCCTCCCATCTCCCCCACCTAGCTCTGGGCTGAGTGGCCCAGCACCTCCTTACCTGGGCTATTTAACTATTGACCATACTTCTGCAATAAACAGTGTGGTTTGTGTCAGAAAAGGAAAGAAAGGAGGCAGTGATTGAGGAAGATAGCCTGCCTCACACTCTGATCTCTCCATTCCCATTAATACCCATATACACACATATACCACAAACCAAGATATTTCTGTGGGAGAGAATGGTGTTTTGGGTTATCTCTTCTCTCTCAGTTCATGTTACAAGTCTACCATTTGAAAGAGTTCTTTTTGAGTATATTAGCCATTGCTAATATGGGGCCTTGAGTCTCCTGAAGTGAGATTAGCTCCATTATAGCTCTGGTTTTTACAGAAGTGGTTTATTTTAATTATTTTTAATTTCTTGAGATTATAATAAAATTACTTCATATCACCCTTCCTGTTCCTCTCTTTAAACCTTCCTGCAGAACCCTCTTTGTTCTCCTGCAAATTCATGTCCTCTGTTTTCATGTCCTAATAGTTTTTATGTGTGTGTATATACACACACAAACATATATATATGTGTACATATATATATATGTTCGTAAATACCTAAGTACAACCTGTTCAGTGTCTGTAATATTAGTTGTGTATGTTTTTAGGGTTGACCATCTGGTATTGGATAGCCAGTGGCTGTGCTCTTCTCTGGAGAAGACTATTTCTCCCAGTCCCAGCACTCCTTAGCAATCTGTAGTTCTTTGTGTAAGGTTGAGGCCTCTTGGCCTTTCACCTGCTCATGCTAGCATGCCTGTGCTGTCCTTGTTCCTCTGGCTCTCTCAGTCTCTCCTGTCTCTCTTCCACAGTGTTCCCTGAGGCTTAGGTGCAGGAGTGTTTGTAGGTGAACCCTTTGTGATTGGGCTCCACAACTCTGCATTTTGAGAACAGTGGAAATATTATTTCCTATGTGAATGAGTGTTTTCCCTGTATGTCTGTCTGTATACCTCATGCCTGGTGCCTGTGAAGGTCAGAAGAGGGCATTGGATTCCCTGGACTGGAGTTACAGGTGGTTTGTGCTACCATGTCAGTACTGGGACTTGAATCTGGGTCCTAAGTAAGAACAAGTGTTCTTAACCCCTGAACCAACTCCCCCAAAGGGTCTCTTTTGTATCCCAACATTATTAAAGTTCCTAAGTTCTATAGTTTATTAATACTTAGTATCCCTAGAGTGGCTCATGTAAGGACCATTTTCTCAAAAAACAAACAAACAAACAAACAAACAAAAAAGCCTCCTGTTCTTTTGCCCACAGTTCCAAGATGAAATGGGATTCTCCAATATGGAAGAAGATGGCCCAGAGGAAGAGGAGCGTGTATCAGAGTCTCGACCTAACTTCAACACCCCTCAAACCCTGAGGTATGTTGGCTGAGATGTAGCGGGAAGGGATAATGTGTTTCTGAAGAGGCTTGATATTTTTTTTTGTTTCGTTTTGTTTTGTTTTATAAATTATTTTTCATCTTCCCTCAGCCTCTTGTTTAGGGTGAGGAGTCCTGGATGTGAGTTAGTTAACAGCAAACAAATAAGGCGGTCTCCCTGTTATGGGGCAGTACAGCTGTAGACAAAGCTGTGTCTGTTTGGGAAGGGAGAAAAATCAAAGCTGGCCCCAAGGGCATCCTTTCCATGCGAGTGGTGCTGGAGAGGTGTGTCACGCTTCACAAGGCCAGCCACAGAAACACCCCACTGTGGTGTTTAGATGTCACGTGTGTTCATTGTTTGTCTATAACATGTGACTTGTCACTTGGGCATTGTTGAGCAAGCCATGAGTGCCTGCTCTGATGTGGCAGGAGCCAGAAACATGCCTTTTTCTGAAAAGTTACTAATGATTGATAAAGTGTGATGTACTTATCTACGACTACTTCCTGCTTAAATTGGGGCATTGTTGTTGGGGACCCAAGAATGTTGGCATGCTGTCTAGGTTGTACGGTATCTTCTGGAGTTAGGGAGGTACAGCCTTAGTTGTAGCATTAAGTGAGCCTGGACTGCCTGGGACAAGATGCTTAGGAACTGCCTTGGATGCAGATTCTGGTCAGGTCCTTGTGCATCAGTAGTTTATTTGAAATCTGGTGGTACAGATAGACTCGGGAGAGAAGGTTAAGGAAAAATTTTTGTTCAGGATGTACATTTGAAACTTTCAAGCCCACAAGTTAGTTGTTGGGGGAGGGGAGGCCTAAGACCTGGGGAGAAAGTTCCTAATCTCAAGAATAGGCAGAGGTGGAGGTGGATTCAAGTAATGTTCCTGAACTGTACAAGAACTGTTTAAGTTTGCATAAAGAGATGAAAGTTTCAGATATGTTAGCATTACCACTGCTGGTAACATGTAGTGAAATCCACATTACAGAAAAGGCAAGAGACTCATGCCTTTGAGTCACAGTAGAAGCTTGGTACTCAAAGTGTTTCTGGGTTAAAAGCATCAACACTCTTCCCAGAGGGTTGCATATATAGAGTGGACAGTGATGTTTTTAGCACGGTGGAAAGCACTTTTATGTCTGTACTTAGAAGCAGAGGGAATTAAAAATATTTTTAAATAATTTATCTTTTCTTATTTTATGTACATTGGTGTTTTGCCTGCATGTATGTCTGTGTGAGGGTGTCAGACAGCTGTGAGCTGCCATGTAGGTGCTGGGAATCGAACCCGGATCCTCTGGAAGAGCAGTCAGTGCTTGCTCTTAACTGTTGATTACTCTCTCCAGCTTCATGGGTTTTTTAAAATTTGAACTGGTGACTTGGATAATAAGTAGCAGTGCTTTAAAAGGCCCAGACTAAGAACACATCAGAACTCCATTGATTAATGTTAAATATCTCATCTTTTGAAGTCTTAATGTAAGCACAGAGGGAAAGATCTCTGGAACAGTTTTCATTTTGTTTAATGTGCTTTAAATCACTTTCTTAGATCTTTCCAGCTTATGTTTACACACCTTAAAATACTTCTTTAGATTTTAGAATTGACAGAGACCAAATAGCTGTAAGAGAATGAAGCTTGAGACTGGCTGTTTACACAGGACTAGGACTGAGAAGGTAGTAGAAGCCTTGGAGGAGGAGCTGGTATGCTTGCTGCTGTTAACCTGACAAAACTATCGTTATCCTAATTGTCAATGCAATCAGAGATCTGAGCAGGGTAAATTTCACTGGAGTAAAAACAGGCAGTATAGACCTGGTAGCTCCTGAATCTAATTAAAGAATGACAGAGACTTACAGACTTCCTGAATAATCAGCCTGAGTTCCTCCATGGTAATCTTGATTTCACTGGGGCAGAGGTCCCAGGGCAGTGTCAGTCTTAGGCCTTCAGGCCCAGAAGGTCTAACAGACTCCAGGTCACATTGGCACAGCCACAGCAGCATGACTGGTTATTGTTGCTGTCTTATCATCTACTGTCCTGAAGAAGCAAGCAGAAGTATGTGTTGGAGGGGGGGGGATAGTGGTGGAATTCCCTCCAGACCCAAGACTGATAGGAGATATCTTCTTAGGTAGTTGCTTGCATGTCTTCACAAATAAGCTTGCCTCTTTGCTGAATTGTATCTAAAAAGGAAAAAACAGAACACATGAATTTTCCTTTTCTAGCATTTAAAAAATTCAATATAATTATTTTGAGTGGGTTTCTGTGAGCGTATGGCTGAGGATCACATGCATGCAGTGACATGGAGGTCGGCAGGAGGCTTTGGGTCCCTGGAACTGGATTGTACATGGTGTGAGCCACTGTGTAGGTGCTGGGAATTGACCTGAGTCTTGTATGAGCAGCAAGTGCTCTTTACCACTGTGCCATCTTTCCAGACCCCTCCTTTTATTCATTTTTGATTTTTCAAGACAGCCCTGGCTGTCCTGGAACTAGCTCTTGTAGACCAGGCAGTCCTGGAACTCACAGAGATCCCCTCCTCTGTCTCAGTAGTGCTGGGATCAAAGGCGTGTGCCAACACCGCCTGGCCTCCCCTCCTTTTCTTGTTTTCTATCTCTTGAGTCTAGCCCAAGCCTAAGTATGGCTTTGCTGACGCCCTCAACCTTTTCCCTTTCTCCCCCCACTTACCCACACCCATTCAACTCCATGTTAACATTAACAAGCCTTTTTACAGAGAGTAGGGGTTGTCTCTGAAGGCTACCTCTGTCCAATCATCGGTTCAGTAGCTAAGGGAATACTGAAGCAAACTTTTAGTGAAGTGCTTGCATTAGGGACTAATACTGCTCTTGTTGCCTTAGATCATGATAAATTCCTTAGAGATGATAAATTAAATTGCTCAGTTTCTGTGCTGGCGCCCACTCAAGCCTGATCCTTTTTTCTGTCCCTATGTCTCACAATTTCAAGAGACAGACTGAGACACTTTTTTACTAAGTCTTTGATAGGGCTGGAGAGGTGGCTCAGTGGTTGGGAGCACTGGCTGTTCTTCCAGAGACCCATGTCCAATTGCCAGGACTCACTTGATGCCTCATAACTCGAGTTCCAGGCATCTGGTGCCCTCCTCTGGCCTTCTCAAGCATGACACCCTTGTGTCCTCTGACAGACAGCACGTGGGAAGATGCAGAACTCAATACATAGCTCTAATTCCCCACGCCCTTAGGGAGGCCAGGCCAGACCAAGTAGAGATACCACCAGGAACGTCCATCTTGGTGAACCAGTGGGTTTTATTGGGGTTAATTACAGAAGCAGAAAGTATTCAAAGACAGCTCCATCATGCAAAACTCACCCCAGTGAATGTGGCAGCTCCCCTAATCTGCACACCTGGAGCACACTGCATGCAGCTCAGCAGTTTGGAGCATCCTTTCCAGGAGGCTCAGTTTGGTCTAACCTTCTTCTAGGATGCTCTCTTCCAGGTTTCTGCTGCTCTTGGATGCTATGCTTCTTGTTGGGAGCTTGACCTGTGTGAGAGTGGTGCTCAGCAGTCCTTATTGGTCACTCTTAGGATGGAGCGGCCTGGTGAATCTGGTCAGTTCAGGGACTTCTGAAGTCATTTGGTTGAGTTATTTACTTCTGTCCTACTGTAGGGGTTCCTTGCAAAGATGGGATGTTTCAATCTTGGAGAAAATGGGTATACAACAATGTGGTACACAGACATGTGCCGGCCAAATTCGTACACATGAAATAAAAATAAATAAACGTGATCTCGGTGAGACTGAGGCCAGGCTGGTCCAGGTGTGAGTTGCAGGACATCTCAGTTTAGGTCAGGCAACACCGAAAGGAGTTACAATGGGTAAAAGAAGATAATTTACGTTTGGGTCATATAGTACTGTTTGAACTAACAGCTCCTTCTCTTCATGGAGCCTGCCTTGGATTTTAGTGTATTTCTTTTGTGTTACATTGTAGAAAGGCTTTGTTCCTCTTTCCTGTTTTTGTGTTTGGTGCTAGGAAACAAAGTCAGAAGTCATATTACAAGAGAAGTATTCACTATACTAACTTAGGTATCTCCTCACCCTGGGGATTGAAGAAATAAATGAAGGGCAGCTGTAAAGGAAAGGGCTGGAGTAGCAGGTAAATGAGAGACTAACTGGTGTATTTGTAGAAGATTCTCTGTCACTATTTGTAAGATATCTCCATTGGCGTTGCTAGAGTTTAAACCTAGAGCATCAAGCATTCTAGGTGTGAATTACTTCATTTGAATATATTCCTGACAGTCTGAGGAAATTATTTGGTTAAGGAGAATGCATGCTGCTTATAGTGAGATTTAAAGAACTAAAAATAAAAGTAAGTAGACATGGGCTGGAGTGATGGCTCAGTGCCTCTGAGTACTGAGTGCTCTTCCAGAGGACCCAGGTTCAGTTCCCAGTGCTCACATGGCAGATGACAACTGTCTGTCACTTGTGTTCCAGAGGACCTAACAACCTTCACCCTGACACACACGCAGGCAAAACAGTAATGCACACAATACTTAGAAAAATCTTAAAAATAATACTATATTTTTTTTAATAAAAAGTAAATGGACATCGTTCAGGCTTGGTTAATATGTGTTTTCAAGGAATATGATGTAATGTGGTCCCAGGAAAATATACGGATTTGCTTTTTCTTATTGGAAATAGGTTTGAGGAACCATTGGCCAACTTGCTGAATGAACGACATCGGACAGTAAAAGAGCTACTTGAACAGCTGAAAATGAAAAAATCTTCATGCAAGCCACAGCCTGAAGTGGAGAGGCTTAAACCTCAGAAGGAGATAGTCCACCAGACTCTGATTCTGGACCCAGCACAGAGGAGCAGGCTTCAGCAGCAGATGCAGCAGGCAAGAGTCTTCTCATTGTCTTGTAATTGCATCGTCTCCCGGCCTAACACCGAAGCCAAAAGGGAGTGTTGCAAAGTTATAGATGGCTGTCCTGGTTTCCATTGAAACCGTGGGGGGCATAGGACCTTGGGTCCACTAAGACCTTGAGAGAACAGCTTGTTCATGTCCTGTGGCTCTGTCAGGAAAGCAGATAAAGACCTGATAAAGCGCAGGATCAGGGAATTCAGAATTCTAGGCAATGCATTCAAACTTGGGGAACTAACTGTCTGTATTAGCTTTTCTTCTTTCAGTCTTGGTCTCTCTAGTTTGAGGTTCAATTTTGCCTGAGTTTGTGGTCACGTTCAGAGGAACGTAACCCTGAAATTCATGCCAAGATCCTGGGTTGCTCTAATCCCTCTGAGAAGCAAGATATGTGTGATACGTTTGCAGACTTCTTGGTAAGATCTGTGTTTCTGAAATGGCAACATTTAACACATCAGTTTTCTTTCCTCCTCAGCATGTTCAGCTCTTGACACAAATCTACCTTCTCACCACCTCCAACCCCAACCTCAGCTCCGAGGCCAGCACCACCAGAGTATTTCTGGTAAGGTTCCATGCTTCCATAACTCTGAAGACTAAAGTTTGACGTTAGCTTGACAAGTGATTTTTTTCAGTGTTAAAGTTATTCGCTGATTATACTCTGTACTTCTTCTTCTCTACTGGATGTGTTAGGTCACTGTACCTACTTTCTGGTGGCTTCCTCTGTGTGCTTGGCCGAACCCTGAGTCTCAGGAAGTGTTTGCCATGTCATCTCGATTGCATCCCCCCTCATCTTGGGGTCCTTTTTGCTTTTCCTTCTTGAGAGAGGGTCTCATGTTGTGCTTGCTGGCCTCAGAGTCACTGTGTAGCTGACTTTGTCCTTGTGATCGTCCTTCCTCTACTTCACAATTGCCCCAGTTACGGATGTACACGAAAGTGTCCGGTTTATGGGGTGCTGCGGATATAACCCAGGGCTTCTGCATATTAGGCAAGCGCTCTACTAACTGAGCTCCCCAGCCCACTCACCCTTTGTTTTTAAGGATGTTGACTTTGACCTGTTTATTGTGCTCAGCTTTAATGTTCAGTGTAGAATTAGTCCTGCTTGTGACATTTTAAGTGTTTTGAAAGATTTAGGGGTCCTCCCTAATGGAGGTCCTCCCTCATTCCCATTCTCCCTTTCACCCCTCCTCCCTTTCCTTTCTTGTAGAGTTAATAGTAGATCTGTAAATGGAGGTAAGAGAAACTGTCACTGGGAGGGGCCCAGGAGTCGGTGCACCCTGGAGAAAGTGCTTTTGTGGTTCTGTGATGTGTTTGCTAATAAGCCCAAGTGCTTTGTGGAAAAGAGTCTCTTTACTTGGTACTGTATTCAGATGACGATGAGAAAGATTTCATTTGATGCATTATTCAGAAAACTTTTCAGAATTAGATTTATATGTGTGTGTTTTGCTTGCCTGTATGTATGTGTGCAGGGTTGTGCTTGCTTGCTGGTGTGGGCAGAGAAGGGTGTCACATCCCCTGGAAGTAGAGTTATGGGTGGATGTAAGGCACCATGTGGATGCTGGGAACTGAGCCTGGTTCCTCTACAACAGCAACAAGTTTTTTTTTAAACCTGCTGACCACCTCTCCAGACCTTTTTGTTTGTTTCTGTCTTTGTTTTTCAAAACAGATTTCTCTGTGTAGATTTTGAGCCTGTCTCGTGTCTTCCTTCCAGTGTAGGGATTAAAGGCGTGTGCCACCACTACCTAGCTTCAGAAAATATTTCTCTAAGAACAGGAGACAGTGGTGTTAGTCCCCTTTATTTCTAGTAATTTGGTGAATGAGAGAGGAGGATCATGAGTTCAAGGCTGTCCTGGGCTACAGAGTTAGACTCAAAAACAAAAAAAAAACAAAAAACAAAAAAAACAAAACAAAAAAACAAAACAAACAAACAAAGAAAGAAACGGGTGTGTATGTGTGCCTGTAATCTTCCCCACACCCCTCTCCCCTCCCCCAGTGCTGAGGTTCAAATCCGGGTCTTTGAGCATTCTTCTCAATAGCTCTGTTGCTGAGTCCTGCTTCTAAGTTGGGGATATAGCATGCATCAGTAAGACTGGGTAATGTTCACTGTGAGACTTAAAACAAAAGTGTGACAAATGAATGTAGGTCCATTCCCTGAATGGCTGAGGGCAAAGACAGAGAAGTCACAATGGAACAGTATCAGTTAAGAGAGATCTTTGCCCGCTTCTATTCCTATAGCAGCAAGGGCCCTTGCCCCTTCAGAGGTTGAGGGCTGTGGTATTAGTTTTCTGGAGTCCTCTGAGATCTCCTTTGTGTCCTTTCTTGTCAGAAAGAGCTGGGAACTTTTGCAGAGAACTCTGTCGCCCTGCACCAACAGTTCAACCCCAAGTTTCAGACCTTGTTCCAACCCTGTAACTGGATGGGAGCTATGCAGCTCATTGAAGACTTCACACAAGTCAGTGTTGACTGCAGTCCTCAGAAAACCACCAAGAAGACTGGTAAGAGATGCATGTGTCAACTTCGGGTTTTGGTTTGCATTGGGAGATGACAGTCTTTAATAATTTTTATGTACAATTCTTAGGGATGGAGTGTGTAGAATATACTCTATGTTTTCTGCATTTTATCCTTTATATTCTAGGCTTTAGCATTGCATGTTAAAATCTATGCTAGTGTAAGTCTTGGAAGACAAGAGGCAAAATAGGGATTCAGGAATCCTTGTTAAATAGTGGAGTTGAGTGAATCAATGCCAGAATCAACATTTCATTTAAAGTGGGAATGTCACTTATACTCTCTGTGTATTTTAAAGTCATATTTACATATTTACACATACACACACAGGTTTGAGGGGTAGACATCGTGAGATATAGTACCATAATGTCCAGGACAGCTGTGGGTCCCAGGAATTGAATTCAGGTCGTCAGCCCAGTTGCAATTTTCTGGACTGACCCATCCCCTGTCATCTAGAATACCAGATGTGTAGAAAAGAATAAACAAAGTATAATTTTTATCTTGGTAGAACAAAAATCTTGCTGAAGTTCTTTGTGTTGTAAAGCATTTTTACAGAGAAGGGTGAAAAGATGTGTGGGGATAACAGTATGTGTGGGCACTGCTAGGTGCTAATTTATGTTCCTGTCTCAGGGGATGAAGTGACCCACACAGGAAAGGACAAGGGAATCAGCTTGATTTCGCTCCTATTAAGAGTATGTTAGGTTGAAACAAGTGGAAACAAGTGGGGGTCAAGTCACAGAAGGAGATAGGTCTCTGCTTGATGCTAAAAAGGATTTATACACTTTTGTGAAGCTCTTTGGTCATAGATTTTCTCTTACAGCCAGTGAATTTCCCTGTTTGCCAAAGCAAGTGGCTTGGATCCTGGCCACAAACAAGGTCTTCATGTATCCAGAACTCCTTCCAGTATGTTCACTGAAGGCAAATAATCCTCGGGATAAGATCGTCTTTACCAAGGCTGAGGACAAGTAAGTTTACTGTGTGGATCAAAGAATACATTAGCGAAAGACAGAGACAGTCTTTTCACATGGGCGATAGAAGATGTGTATGACAAAAAACACAGACCAAAGGAAAGCCATGGAGAGGCACAGAGTTTCAGCCGTGTCTTTTGCAGAAGATGCCTCATTTGTTGTGGTTAAAACTTTTTTTAAAAACTTATTTCAAGTTTTCTGTAGATGGGTATTTTACCTGCTTGTATGTCTGTGCAGCAAGTATGTAACAGTGCCCACAGAGACCAGCAAAGGGTACTGGATCCCCTGGAACTGGAGCTGTGCACTGCTGTGAGTCACCATGTGGGTGCTGGTATCTGACCCTGGGTCCTCTGGAAGAGGAGGCTGTGCTCCTAAGCACTGAGCCCTCTGTCTAGCCCTGCCACACACATTTTTGAAGCATATAATAGCATTGCTTAATCTTGTTTCTTGGAGAGCCAATCTTGTAGTAGTACTGAAAGTAAAATGTTTCTAACCTATTGTTCTCCTGCCCAAAGACAATGGTTCTCGTTTGCTTTACCCTTTATAGTCTTTTAGTTTGTGATCCTCCTCCTACCTCCTAAGAGGTGGAAATGCAGGTGTGAGCCATCAGCCTGGATTATAGTGTGCCTGATGTTAAATAACTCCGGGCTTCCTGTATGCTAGGTGCTGTGACTTACTGCCTCAGCTCTCGTGGGATTCTGATGGCGTTTTAGTAATTTAAGGAGTTTTGTAATTTGCTTTTTCAAAGGCATAAAGACTTTCCAGTGGGCGCTGGCCCAGGCCTTTCATCCTAGCACTTGGGAGGCAGAGGCAGGTGGATCTATGAGTTGGAGGCCAGCCTGGTCTACAATTGAGTTTCAAGTTACCCAGGCTTACACAGAGAAACCCTGTCTGGAAAAACAAACCGACAACAAAAAGAAAAGACAAGGTCTTCAAATTGTCATTTTAATATTTGAGTTATCCATTATTTATTGTTCTATGAGGCAGGCCCTCATGTGTCTAATACTGTACTTGAAAAGACTATGTTCCTGAGGATGACCTTGACCTTTGAACCCTCTTGCAGGTTTCAGTTTTGGAGATGTTTGCTTTATTTATTGTTTTTTTGAGGGGGTGGTCCTGGGGTTTTGCTTTTTATTTTTTGGGGCTGACACCACGTGTTATTGTATAGTTTGGGCAAGCCTCCAGCTTAGAGCAGTGCTCCTGCCTCAGCCTCTGAACAGGGTTGTGATTGCAGGAGTGTGCCACCATGTCTGGAACATCCACTCAGTGGCATATTTTTGTTGCTACTTTTGAAATGGGACCAGTCTCATTTGTGCTGGACCAGTGCAGTATCACTAGCCTTGATTATGTTATCTTTGACACCAAAGTGGGGGCCTCTGGAGTTCAGTCCTTTGTCTTTCCATATAGTAGGCGAGCACTGTACCCAGTGAGTTACATCACAGCCCTTGTTTGGTCCATACAGGGTTGCCATGCACCCAGGCTGGTCTTGAACATGGCATCTCCTGCCTCAGCCTCCTGGGCGTTGAGAGTGTGCCACTGGCTGTCTGTGTTCTTCTGTGTTTTTATCACAAGGCTTCACCAAGGATGTTTGTGCAAAGAGCGTTAGAGAGATTTTGCGTTAACAGTGCTGTGGGATTAACCCAGGGCCTTCCCCATGGCACTGACCCCTTCATGTTTGTTAAAATACTGAGCTCACGGTAAGTATCCGAAGGTGTGGAAAGTGTTTGTGAAGCAAGAGCAGTTTGGAGAGCTCTTTTGAAGAAAGGCCTGTGAAGTTAGGTTGTATCATTGCTTCTCTCTCAGTCTGTTAGCTTTAGGACTGAAGCACTTCGAAGGCACTGAGTTTCCTAAACCTCTAATCAGCAAGTACCTTGTAACTTGTAAGACCGCTCACCAGCTGACGGTGAGAATCAAGAACCTCAACCAGAACAGAGCTCCTAACAACGTGATTAAAGTGAGTGTTTGCTCAAGCTCCCTGTGCCTCCTGCAGAGGAGCACCTAGCCCTTTCTCCTCCTCCTCTCAGCCCTCAGTGAGACAGGGAAGTCCCTCCAAAAGAAGACTAATTTAAAGGATAATTCCTCCCGGTGTGTTAGATTGATTGTCTTTCCCTTGTAAGGCAGTGATCCATTAATTTGCTGGGGAATATCTTCATCATAGCCTCTCTTATGAAGTCACTCAGGTGAGAGGGTTCCACTAGCCCTCCATCCTTCCAGCCAGATTGCTTCTGCCTTACCCTAACGTTCTCCAGGTAGACAGTATTGGATTTGCAAACTGTCTCCAGTGTGCCGCTTTCTTTTGTTTCTAAAGATTTGTTTTACTTTTTAATTAAGCATGTGTCTGTGTGTGGGTGTGTGCAAGTGTGTGCAGTGGCCCAGATCCCATAAAGCTGTAGTCACGTGTAGTTGTGAGCCACCTGACGTGGGTGCATGTGTGCTGGGATCTGCACCGGGGTCCTCGATAAGATCAGGACCTGCCCTTAACCACTGAGCCACCTCTCCAGCTTCCAGTGCTGCTTTTCATTTAGACATTTCTGTCAAGGTCATGCAGAACATGCTTCAGGAGTCAAGGAAGCTAGCTGTGCTGTTTCGGCACCGGTCTCTGCACCCAGGTGACGGAGACTCTAGAATTGATGTGAGTTTGGGAATACCCAGAGCTCCATAACAATATCCTAGTTCAAAAGTGAGAGAGAGAGAGAGAGAGAGAGAGAGAGAGAGAGAGAGAGAGAGAGAGAGAGAGAGAAAGAAGGTTAAGCAGTTTAAAGAGTGACATTTTCTTGAGGCTTCTGTTATGAATGTGTTTCATCCCCTTCCGTTGTAACTCATGTTTTTGGGAGGTGGTGTACTTAACCACCTCAAGATATAGCAGGTTCACAACTGACTTCTTGGTGCTTTGGGATTAAACCTGATTTATTAACCTCAGTCATGGATCCTTGCCTTCTTGTCTCCCTCCCTTCCTCTGTCCCTCCTTCCTTCCTCCTCTCCCTGCTTCCCTGCCTGTCTCCCACTTTCCCTCCCTCCGTCTCTCATTCTCTCCCTCCCTTCATCTCTTACTTCCTTCTTCAGTGCTAGGAGTTGAGTAATCACTAAACCACATCCCCAGCTCACCTTATTTGCTTTAAATGTCTTTGTTTGTGTGTGTTTTTAAGATGTCATTTAGTATGGGTAGTTGTGTGTGCCTGAGCATATGTGTACCGTGTGTGTGCAGGTGCCTGTGGAGATCAGAACGGGACATTGTATATCTGTAGGTACAGGTGGCTATGAGCTGCCCATTGTGGGTTTTGGAACTGAACCCGAGGTTTTGGTAGAACAGCAAACACTTAAGTGTTGGCCTCTGTATGCAGCCCCATCATTGATATTCTGGTTGACTGACTGATTGATATGCTTTTTCAAAATCACACTTATTTACCTTGAAGTGGGCATGTCCATGCCACAGTGCACACATGAGGTCAGTGCACAACATGAGAAATGATGTTCTGCTTTTCCCCCTATGAACTCAGTTTCTTATGCTCAAGCCAACTGCCTGTCCCATTCATTCTTTTCACTATTTATTGGTTTGTTCATTTGTTTTTTGAGATGGAATGCTATGTATAGGCTTGACTATCCTGAATCTCACCATGTAGACCAGGCTGTTGTTGGCTCAGTGAGATTCCTCTGCCTCTGCTTCCCACATGCTGGGATACTATGTGTGTCCCACAACCTCCAGCCTATTTACTTTGAAAGGATGTCTTTTTCTTCCTCTTCTTCCTCTGCCTCTCCCCCTGGGAGTACAGCTCCTCACTATCCTGTTCAGTTTACTGTATCTTTTTCACTTAGCCCAGTTACTTGCTTACAAGTAGCTTCTGTGTGTGAGATGAGGGTTGAGTTATGTATGTAGGATGAACTGTTTAGTAAGATTATTTCCTTCATTGGCTTCTGATATAAACTACTAAGTTTCCCTCCAAAGGGTCACTGGAGAAGATAGTTTTGAGTGTATTTGTATGTTTATCCAGACAGGGTTTTTTTTTGTTTGTTTGTTTGTGTTTGGTGTGTGTATGTGTGTGTGTGTGTGTGTGTGTGTGTGTGTGTGTGTGTGTGTGTGTGTGTGTGTGTGTGCGTGCGTGCGTGCGTGCGTGCGCGCGCGTGCGTGCGTGTGTGTGTGTGTGTGCGTGTGTGTGTGTGTGTGTGTGTGTGTGTGTGTGTGTATGGTGTAGTAGTAGTAGTAGTAGTAGCAGCAGCAGTAGCAGCTTTGGCTGTCTAGGAACTCACTTTGTAGACTAGTCTGGCCTGGTATTCACAGAGATTCACCTGCCTCTGCTCCTAAGTTCTGGGATAGTTTAGAGTTGTAGTGGTAATCAGAATGGAAATTTGCATTTATAAACTGAATATTTGTGAAATTTTCAATAATTAGAGATACTTTGTTTAAAGGCAGACATACTCAGCATTTACAACTGATACATTTGTGTGTATGTGTGAAATCATCAGCCACCCCTTTTTCCAGTGTGAACAAATATGACTTTGATTTGTGTGTTCATGCCTAGTTTTATAAGAAGACCAAACAGCTGCCAGTTCTGGTGAGGTGCTGTGAGGAGATCCAGCCACATCAGTGGAAGCCGCCCATAGAGAAGGAGGAACACCGGCTCCCATTCTGGTTGAAGGTCTGGCCCTCCTTCAATGTCTGTGTGAGGCAGGAGTCCCTAAAAGTTCCTGTATCAGTTAAATGATAATTCCCAATGTAAATTCAGGAAGAATTTATGCACTTGGATGTGCTTTTCCTAGAACACTGAGGCATGGAAATCCCTTCTTGGGACCATATCTTGAAACTGTCTTCTACTAATCTTCTACTGATCCTTATTCTCCAGAAAGCTAATTTTTCTTTCCCCCAAATTCTGCCACATGCTAGAGCACATTGTTCTTGTTTCCTGTAGGCCAGTCTGCAGTCCATTCGGGATGAACTTCGGAACCTAGCGGAAGGTACTGCGGAAGGAGAAAATGTGACCCCAGCCTCAGAGACCAGTACAGATCAGCATTTGGAGAAAGCCAGCCCTGAGTTAGGGAGTGAGACTCAATACCCACTGCTGATGCCCAATGGTGTAGTACTCAAATTGAAGCCAGGTTCCAAGCGTTTCTCTAGAAGGGCTTGGCGACAGAAGCGGCCGTTGGTTCAGAAGCCCCTCCTTATCCAACCTAGCCCCTGTGTTCAAGCTTCGTTCAACCCAGGGAAAATAGCAACCTGGTCAACTCAGTCAGAAGTCCCTCCAGGCAACAGGGTAGTTCAGATTCCTCATCTGATCCAGCCAACCACTGTCTTACAGACACTTCCAGGGTTCCCTCCAGTGGGGGTCAGCCGAGAAGATTGTATTGAGTCTCCTGCAGCACTGCCAGCTATGCCTTCTGGCCCTGAAGCCAGGGCCAGCCTCCCCCTCCCCCTGTCTGAGTCTCAGTCACTATTGCCTTCTTCCTCTGCACCCAAGATCATGCTACCCTCGCTTGCTCCTTCAAAATTTCGAAAGCCTTTCTCAAGGCGGAAGCCCACGAGAAGAAGAGGAACCAAGGTTTCTCCCTGTGTGAAACCTCCCCCCATCATCCACCCCACACCTGTCATCTTCACTGTCCCTGCCACCACAGTGAAGGTTGTAAGCCTTGCCAGTGGGTGCAACGTGATCCAGCCTGTTAATGCAGCCGTGGCCCCAAATCCCCAGACCATTCCTATCACCACTCTCCTGGTTAATCCTACACCGTTCCCCTGTCAGTTAAACCAACCCCTCGTGGCCTCCTCCATTTCACCCTTAATTGTTTCTGGCAATCCTCTGACACTTCCTGTGCCCTCTGTTGCTGAGGATAAGGCCCACATGAACGTGGATGTTACTGAAGAGAAAAATGCTCCTCAAAACCCTGACTCCACATTAAAACCCCTGGAACTGACTCCTTTCTGTGCTACTGTCTTCTCCAAGGAGGAGCCTAGGCCATGGCACCCTTCCTCAGGTATGGAAAGCCAAGAAATGTCAGAAGCAAATGCCTGTGGATGGCCCATTGTGAAAACAGAAAGCCAGGAGGGATCATCTGAATCGACCACCTGTGGCTGGACAGGTGTGAAAACAGAAGAGGATGGGCTTGCTTTTGGGCCATTTCCTCAGCATCTCCCGGAATCTCTGAACTCCACATCAAAAGATTTAGAAGAAATGGTCAAGATGGAAGCTGAGGATTGTGTGGGAGAAATCTCCAGCAGATTTCCTGAGCAGGGCTTTGCTAAGAAAGTGAAAGAAGAATGCTCTATGGAATTGGACAGTGGCTCCCATCAGGGGAAGCAGAGTAGTTCCAGAGAGATGAGAAAACAAGCAGTCGTGCAGAGGGAGGAGCCTCAACCAGCTAAATCCCTTTCTGTGTCTCAAGACTCTGCTGATGAAGGGGCTTCAAGTGGAGATGCCAAGAAAGGATTGCCAAAAAGCACTCCATCCTGCATGGAGCAGGAGAGGGTACTTCGCAGTCCTCCAGGGAAGCCTGAGGACTCAGCCAATGTTGACGGTCAGTCTGTGGGGACCCCAGCAGGACCAGACCCTGGAGGAGAGAGAGAAGGGCCTGAGGATGAAGAGGAGGAAGAGTTTGATGACTTCACCCAAGATGAAGAAGATGAACTGTCATCAGCCTCTGAGGAGTCTGTGCTTTCTGTCCCAGAGCTCCAGGTAAGAACCCGAGTAGTTTCGAGTATATAGTGTCACTAGAAAGTTGTGTTATCTGACTTTTGAATGCATTATGCCTCATAATTTACAGTCTTGTGTCAAGTGCCATAGAATGGGAACATTGTCTTTGGGTTAAGCTCATTTAATTGTTAATTTGATTCATTTGAGCATACTTTATCATTTTTATAGTTATTTTATTTGTCTGGATGTGTGCATGAGGTTTTATACGTGTAGAGGTCAGAGGAACATGGGGAGGTGGTTTTCTCCTTCCAGCACGTGCGTCCCAGGAATTGAGCTGTATGTCAGGCTTGAACACAGTTGTCTGTACCTGTTGATCCATGCCACTGACTCTTGAGTATACTTTAAATAACAAACAAACAAATGAGGATGCTGCAGGTAATATGATACTGTTTGCCATCCTGAATGGGTTGTGTGCATTTCCTGGAATCACATAGTATAAGGAGAGAACTGATTGAGTTTATCTCCTGATCCCCTCCCATGGGTGCCTCTGTATGTATGTATCCTAGTGCATGCACACAGACATAAATAGGCTTAAAAAATAATATCCTGTGAAGGGGGAAAGATGGCTCCACAGTCTCCACAGTTAAGAACAGTTATTGTGCCTGCCTGAGGTAGGGCAGGTTTTTAATCACAACACTAACGTGTTCTATGCCAGCCTGGTCTACAGAGTGAGTTCTAATATAGCCGACAATACACAAGAGAAACCCGTCTCAAGAATGAAAGAAAGGTAGAAAGGTTCCCAAACAAAATAAGCTTAGAAACAAACAACTACAACAAAAAGAACACTTAGTGCTCCTCTAGAGGACCCAGTTTTGAGACCCAACGTCCACATGGCTTCTCACAATTCACATTAACCCAGTCCAGAGGATCTGTTGACCCCCTCAGGCCTTTGTAGTCATGTAGTACATAGATCTACATGCAGACAAAACTCTGTTACTCATAATAAAAGAATGTTTAGTTTTTTTAAAATCTTGGCCATTCTGGAGCATGCCTTTAATCTCAGCACTTGGGAGGCATAGTTTGGTGGATATGTGAATTTTAGGCCAGCCTTGTCTATACAGCTAATTCTAGGACATTCAATGCTTCACAAAGAAACCCCATCTCAAAAAACAAAACAAAGTTTAAAATACCCTTAATAATAGATGAATAGGCATGTAATAGCCCATGTACTTGACATGCGCAAGGCCTTGTTTCAATCTTCAACCCAGTAGAAAAGAAGCAATGAACTATGACACTCTCCCCCCACCCCCAAAAAAAAAAACAAAAAAAAAAAAAAAAAAAAAAAAGGATTAAGAAGAAAGAGAACAAGTTTTAAAAGGTCCTAAGTGTGGATCATGGCAGAGGAAAGCTGTCCAGGATTTGGCCAGCTTTTCATAGGCATGTGCTGCTGCCCGGGCCTGTCCTCAGTACGTTCAGGCTTCACGCATTCAAGGTGGTGTCCCCGCTTTACCTTGGATCCTCCTAACACTGCTCCTGTACTTGGGCCTTGTGTGAGCTGCTAAGAGTCCTTGTAAACATCCTATGGGGTGCTTTTAGGAAACAATGGAGAAACTGACTTGGCTGGCTTCTGAAAGGAGCATGAGTCAGGAGGGTGAGTCTGAGGAAGAGAACTCCCAGGAGGAGAACTCCGAGCCAGAAGAAGAAGAGGAAGAGGAGGCAGAAGGGATGGAAGCCTTGCAGAAAGAGGATGAAGTGAATGATGAAGCAGTTGGAGATGCTGCTGAGAAGCCCCCTTCTACCTTAGCCTCACCCAAGACTGTTCCAGAAGTAGAGACCAGCATCACCCCACCAGGTGAGTGTAGCTGACCCCTCGGCGGAGAAGTTTCCCTTAACTGCATTGTCCAGAGGACGGCATGCACAGTGTGCAGCGTACAGAGCAGCCGGAGCCTCCAGGGAGGAGGCTTCCCTCACACGCATTAGGGCAGTGTCTTTGAAAAACAAAAGTCAAAGTCAGAGTCTCATCAACCTTCATTTACAGGATGTTGCTGTGTTTTATTTGTGGTTCTTGCCTCTTGTGTGCTTGAGGCTATGAGCTGTTTGGCAAACATATTCACTCCTTCAACTTCTTGTCTGTCTTTTCAGGCAGGGTCTTAACTGTATAGCTCAGGCAATGTTCTTTTGCTATGCTACCTCTCTCCCAGTGTAAGTGTGGACACTCAACATTAGCATTGGGCTTCTTTTTCAAGCTGCAAGTGCTCAGTGTCTTCTGGGCTTCCAGTGGGTTTTCAAGTTCTGTTGCCCACTGGTTATGCATATGCAATGGAGGCTGTATTGTTTAGTCTACCACTTTCCTAGCTACTCTCTTCCCTGGTTGTGCTGAGATATTAGTTGCATTGGATGGGTGGCACTTGTGGTGGACTGCATGTTACCAGGGTTGAGAAAGAATCTTTTCATATGTACTCCAAGGAGAGAGCATCAAAGCTGCTGGCAGAGGCCGAAGTAATCATCGAGCTCGAAACAAACGGGGAAGTCGGGCTCGTGCCAGCAAGGACACCTCCAAGTTGTTGTTGCTGTATGATGAGGACATCCTGGATCGGGACCCTCTCAGGGAACAGAAGGACCTGGCCTTTGCACAGGCCTACCTCACCAGGGTAGGCAACACAGCTTCTATTACTGCCTGTCTGTGTGCATGTGGCTGCTGCTGCTTTGGAGGAAGATGTTTAAATATGGAAGTGTCTGTCTAAGGAGGTCGCTTAACAGTGAAGTACTATTCTAGCATGGACAAGGTTGGCCCAGCACAACCAAAACCAAGTTTTTTTCCATGGGCTCCATAGTTTTTGTATCTGCCTTACTTCCTGGCAATTGCCACAGAATTCTCTGAAGAGACCAGCAAGGAGACCTAGAGTTCAGACATATTTGATATGGTTGTCAGTTCTCCCATTTTCATCCTATCTGTCTTCCATAGAGGAATCAGGAGAACGGTGATACTACTATCCCTAGTGCCAAGTCGTGATTTCACAGATTGGGCTGATACAGGACCTTTAATGAGCATTGAGTGAAAAGAGTGGCAGTTGTATGCAGCCAGGGGAATGTACTTTGTTCTCTTGGTACCCTGTATAGCTTCCTTCTTAGTTAATGACCCAGCAAGTGAGGTGCTTGGAGAGATTGGCATGCTATTACTCCTACTATTATCTGCTATTATTTTATTAACGTTCTAAGTTTAGGTATTATGTACCTTGGTATGACATGTATTAGAATCCATGTACAAAACTCCTCTTATCTGGTCAAGTTTGGGGCTCAAGTCAGGAAAGCAAGCTTAACACTCCCTAGTGTTGTGCCTCCAGTCTCAAAAAAAAATAAAAATTGTCAGGTTGTCCTTCAGAGAAAAGGAATTCTGCTTGGGTGATTATTTCTGTGTCCTTTGTTAACCCCACATCATGGTAGGGCCTCTGAAGGATAATCTTAGAACTGTGACCATGACTCCTTCTTCTGGGACCTTGCTTGTTCTGGAGGCCCAAAGAATGAATAGTGACTATTGGAAGTTTTGTATGTAGGTACGAGAAGCTCTCCAGCATGTCCCTGGCAAGTATGAAGATTTCCTTCAGGTCATCTATGAATTTGAGTCAAGTACCCAGAGGCATACTGCTGTGGACCTCTACAAAAGCTTGCAAACTGTGCTCCAAGACTGGCCTCAGCTCCTGAAGGACTTCGCTGCCTTCCTACTCCCTGAACAGGCCTTGTCCTGTGGACTAGTAAGTGGACTGCCGGAGACGGCACAGTAGACTCTGGGCCGGAGGCAGGTGGGGCACAAATACAGTCAAGCAAGACCGTCTCGTCTCCCTCATCCATTTCAGTCTTCTCTGGCCTTTCTCTTTTCAGTTCTATCCTCCCATTTGTTTACAAGGTTGTATCTGTAGTACCATAGAAAGGTCCGTAAGTCACATTCTGCCCTCCCTCCTTACTGGTGAAAAGTACCTTTTTGATATTTTTTTTTCCCCTCTTTTTTGAGTCAGAGTCTTTCTTTGTAGCCTTGGCTGGCCTGGAACTCAGTATGTAGACCAGGCTAGTCTTGAATTCAGAGATCCTCCTGCCTCTGCCTATTAAGTGCTAGGATTAAAGTCATGTACCACTTTGTCCCAGCTCTTTACTATATATTTGTTGAATGTCAGGAAAAGACATAGATTCCCCATGTATGTAGTACATGAGCCTTTATGATGATAATACTTCACAGAACAATAGCATAGAAAAGACAGACAGCACTCAGGAAGCTGAGGCAGAAGGATTGTTGTTGGTTCATGGCTGGCCTAGAGTTCATAATTTTTCAAGATCCCTGAGTGAAAATAATAAAAATAAAAAAGTTGAAGACTTAAGAGTTGGAATGGAAGAATGGCATGTTGTGCATGGTGACTCACTATTCTTGTGCTTGGAAAGCAGAGGCAGGGAGAGACAGGGAGTTCACCTTCCTTCTGACATGAAATGAACATGTATGTAAAAATAATGTGTAAACTGTGAAGTTATATTTGAGTTTGAGTATCTGATTTCATAATCTATAAAATAAAAGAAGTAAGAACTTGGGATGTAAGTATCTTTTTTATATGTTTGTTTGAGAAAATTCTCCCTGTATACCCCAGGCTGAACTTCAGCTTGGAATATTGTGTCTCGGTCTCCTACTGTGCCAGAGATCCATATCTACTGAGTCACTCAATCACATGTTCATTTCTTGGGTTGGAGATTCCCAGGATCCCACAGTGGGGTGCTAGGGTTTAAATAGAGTCCTATCTTAACAAGTGCCTCTAGGCCATTGTTCTTAGTTCTCAAAGCCTTCAGGTTCCAATCCTGCTGAGAACTGACTTCTTTCTCTTCTTTCCTTTCTTCTGGCAGTTTGAGGAACAACAGGCTTTTGAGAAGAGTCGCAAATTCCTTCGGCAGCTGGAGATATGCTTTGCAGAGAACCCCACACACCACCAGAAGATTATCAAGGTCCTCCAAGGCTGTGCAGACTGCCTACCTCAGGACATCACGGAGGTACTCTGTCTGCTTCCTGCATTTGGCTTTTCCCCTTTAGATTTGTTTATGTTTGTGGGTGTTTTATGCGCATGTATGCCTGGTGCCTGCAGAAGTTAGAAGAGGGCATTGGAGTTACAGACAATTGTCAACTATCATGTGGTGCTGGGAACCTAACTCAGGTCCTGTGCAAGAGCAGCAGGTGCTTTTATCTACAGAGCTGTCTCCAGCCCTCTTGTCCTACTTCCTTTTTTAATTTTTTTTAAGATTTATGTATTTTTAATGTACATTGGTGTTTTGCCTGTATGTATGTCTGCCTGTATGAGGGTGTCTGAGTTATTGACAGTTGTGAACTGCTATGTGGGTGCTGGGAATTGAACCTGGGTTTTTTGGAATAGCAGCCAATGTCCTTAGCCACTGAGCCATCTCTCCAGTACCGATGGTTCCTTTTTTATTGTCATTTCCAGAGAGAGGTTTGAGTTCAGTTCCCAGCAACCACATGGTGGCTCACAACTATCTGAAATGAGATCTGGTGCCTTCTTCTGGCCTACAGGGGTACATGTTGGCAGAATATTGTATACATAATAAATAAATAAATCTTTAAAGAAAAAAATTCCTGGGAGTCAGATATCAGATTAAGAACCTGAATGACTAGAGAAGTGGCAGAGAAATGTCCAGTGACCTCCTATCTCTTCCCTTCCTCCATCCAAAAAGGATGAGATCTTCTTTAAGCCCTGACCTCCTACTTCCTGTCTATCTGTCCTTAGTACTCTAAAACCTCTATGGTTAGTTTTGGTCAGCTAGTAGCTAGCTCTGTCCTGTGATTCAAAACAAACTTTGTCAATCTTGGAGCCTCAGAATGCAATCAAAATGTCACACAACATGTGAGGACCTAAATTGAATCCCTGGGACTAATATGAGAATTGACTCTAACTTTCATAGATAAGTACTGGCTGTGTGCACTTACTGCCAAGCCTAAGTTTGATCCCACAGGGGATGCACATGGTAGAAGAAAAGAGCTGATTCCTGGAATTTATCCTTTGACTCCCACAGGTGTGGTGTGGCATGTGCACATCCACATACAGACACAGACAGACATACACATACACATGCAAACACAGCAAATAAACAAACAAATACATGTAATCTAAAAATAAGGTACATTAAAAAAAGGCTGCATGTAGAAGGCAGACTGTGGGCTACATGTGGGACTGGTTTGAGTGTAGTCTAGGAAGATTCTTCAGCTGTCTTCTTAGTCGTCACAACTTTCCTCAGCTCAAGACACAGATGTGGCAGCTCCTCAAAGGCCACGACCACCTACAGGATGAATTCTCCATCTTTTTTGATCATCTGCGCCCAGCAGCTAGCCGGCTGGGTGACTTTGAAGAGATCAATTGGACTGAAGAGAAAGAGTATGAGGTACAGGCCCCGAGGTTATCAAGGGGAAGGCTGCCTGCGGGAAGGGTTGGCCCAGTCTGCTTAGTGCCACCAAACCTTGTTTAGTTTGACGGCTTTGAAGAAGTGATACTCCCGGATGTGGAAGAGGAAGAGGAGCCTGCCAAGGTGTCCACAGCCTCAAAGAGCAAGAGGAGAAAAGAGATTGGGGTCCAGAATCATGATAAGGTATATGTACTTTTGGGCAATACTTGCTATTCGTGAATCATGCCTTGGATTAAACATTGCATATATCTGTGGTATATATAGGATAGCTCATAGTGTTTTTAGGATTGGAGATGCTCTTGGGGAACAAACTGTAGGTGAGGCTGCTGTGGAGAACCTGTGAGACTTCATTAGAAGGAATCCTATCCAGACATGGTAATTCCAACACTTAGAGGCTGAGGCAAGGGTATTGCTGCAGGTTTAAAGCTGGCCTAGGCTACATGGTGAAAACCTATCTCCAAAAAGAAAGGGAACAAAACAAAAGGAAACAGATAGTAATTTATGCTGTTCTCCCTAGCTTAGAGCTGTCCTTTTTCTTACATTTGGGTTTTAATGTTTCAATTTTTGCTCATGGAAGGAAGATGGAATCCTTGAATGATAAACATAGCAGTTGTGTTACTGTGTGGCAGCATTTAGATTACTAATTAGCTCCTGCAATTTTCACAGTAACCCTGAGGAAATTTTTACTTATATGACTGAAGGGCAGAAAGAAGCTAATGCTAGAGTGACCTCTTCAAGTGTCAGTGCTGGGACTCACAGTGAGTACCAGAAAGAGCCTTGGGCTAAGATAGTCAGTGAGTAAAGGTTCTCGGTCCCAAGTTTGGTCAGGCTATTCTCTGACCTCCATACACATGGTGTGACAAGCATGTGTACACATCTAAGCATATAGTAAAAAATATAGGTATAGTAGTCTTGATGAAAAATGTGTATATAGTAATATGTCCCTGTGAGTGCAGGTGCCCACAGAGACCTGAAGAAGGTATAGGATCTCCTGGAGCTGGAGTAAAGGGTGGTTTATGCACCTTCTCATCTGGAGACTCCTAAACTCAAGTCCTATGCAAGAGCGGTACAGAACTGTTCTTACTGCTCAACCACCCTCAGCCCCAAATTAGTCTATTTTTAAAATTATTATTACTATTGTTATTAGAAATTGAGTCTGTATGTAACCCTTGCCTTGGAACTATATATACCAGATTGGCCTCAAAGCGAGAGATTTATAGGCCTCTATTCTGAGTGCTGGCATTAAGGCATGGGCCACTATACCCAGCCTTTTTTTAAAAAAAAAAAAAAAAAATTATTTAAAAAACTTACATGAACATACTTTGTGTGTGTGAGATGAGGACTACACACATGCCATGGAACATTTGTGAAAGTCAGAGGACAACTTGTGGGTATTGATTTTCTCCTTCTACTATTTGGGTACCAGGGATTAAGCTCAGGTCCTCAGGCCTCGCTACAGGTTCTTTTATCCACTGAGCCATTTCACTAGCCCACGTGGTAATCTGTTTGTTGTTTTGATGGTTTTTTGTTTTGTTTTGTTTTGATGACAGGGTTTCTCTCTGTAGCCCAGGCTATCCTGGAACTCTATAGACCAGGCTGGCCTTGAACTCAAGAGATGCACCTGCCTGCGCCTCCCAAGTGCTGGAATTAAAGTGTTTTGGCTTTATTGAGTGAAGTCACTATATAAAGCCATTTAGAGAGCGTATAGGGAGACAGCTAGCCAGTAAACTCCGTTTCACTTTGGAGCTCTCCAGTACATTTCCTCAAAACTCTGTCCCAGGCCTCTGGGCTGCTGGGCTACTGCTTTCTTTGGATGTTTGTGGAGTCTTTCAGATTCATAACAGGCTGAGGTCAAGATTGGGTCAGTGACCCCCAGGGTGATGAGATGACACCTTTATAAAAGAGGAGTGGGAGGGCCATCCTTATATCTCAGGCCTCTCAACTCAGCTCTGTTTCTTGGTTCTAAGAATACTTGAGGGCTAATCAAGCTGGGGTATCTTGTAGGAGACTGAATGGCCTGAAGTGACCAAAGACTGTTCCTGTTTTTGCCATGAGGGAGGTCCTGATTCTAAGCTGAAGAAAAGCAAGAGGAGAAATTGTCACTGCAGCAGCAAGGTGAGGAGGGTGACTGGTTTACTTGGACTGCCTAGGCCATACTGTTCAGATGCTGGTCAGGTGTGTTATTTGTGTGGGGTCTTTGTTTGTTTTGTTTTTTTGTTTTGCTTTTGAGATAGGGTCTCTACATAGCCTAGGCTGTCTTGGAACTCACTATGTAGATGAGGCTGGCCTCAAACTCAAGGACATCCTTCTTCTGCCTCTAAAGGTGTGTGCCAACATGACTGGCTAGGTGCTATTTTGCTACTACAGATCTGTGTACTTTTGAACTTGGAAAGTGCTCACATGCATCAGATTATATGCAGTACATACACATATGCACATATGCAAAACATGGACCCTTCTGCAAATTCAAATGGATCCGGGTACCTGGCCTGTGAGCCTAGCACTGAGGAGGTAGAAGCAGGAAGAATAGAAGTTCAAGGTTATCCTCAATCACATAACAAGTATGAAACCTGCATGAGATATGTAACACCCCTCTCAAAACTAACAGAACTGTCAGATGGATTTTGCTTTTGTTGTTGTTTGCTTTGTCTTCAGATGGTGGCTTGTTATATAGCTCAGGTTCACTCACACCCACCATCCTCCAGTGTTGGGACTACTGGCATGCATTGCAGTAATCAATTTTATGTGGTTCTCTGATCACATCCAGGGCACCTTGAATGGTGGGCAAGCACATTAGCAATTGAACAACATCTCCAGCTTTAGATTTTTTTGTTTGTTTTTTGAGACAGGGTTTCTCTGTAGATTTAGAGGCTGTCATGGAACTCTCTCAGTAGACCAGGCTGGCTTTGAAGTTACAGAGATCTGCCTGTCTCTGCCTCCCAAGTGCTAGAATTAAAGGCATGCATCACCACTGCCTGGCCTAGATTTTTCTTTTTTTTCTCGGGTGGTGGTAGTTGGTTTTGTATTTTGAGATAAGGGCTCTTGTAGCCTTTCCTGGCCTCAACTTCACCATGAATCTTGAAGGGTTACTTTGAACTCCTGCCTACACTACATAAGTGCTAGCATTACAGTTGCATTTGCTTTTATTTATTTATTTTTATGTGCATTGGTGTTTGCCTGCATGTAATGGTGTCGGATTCCCCAGAACTGGAGCTACAGAGAATTGTGAGCTCCCATGTGGGTGCTGAGAATTGAATCTCTGGAAAAGCAGCCAGGCCTCTTAGCCACTGAGCCATGTCTCTAGCCCCCTAAAGTTACATTTTGTCTTTTAAAGAGAATCTTTTATTTGATTCCACACCTGAAATCTTAGCACTTTATAGGCAGATACAGGAAGCTGTAAAATGTGACCCTATATAGCAAGCATGTTCTAAGCAGCCAGGGCTAGATGGAGATCCTTTCTTAAAAATAGTAGTGGTTGGAGAGATGGCTCAGCAGTTAAGAACCTGGGCTGATCTTCCAGGGGACCTGGGTTTTTATTCCCTGCACCTACTTGGCAGCCCACAACTGTCTTATTATTCCAGTTCCAGGGGATCATTGCCTTGTAGCTTGTGTCAGCACTGTAGGCACATGGTGCCAATAACCAGTCATATGATATGCATAAAATAAAAACAAAAAATCTTCAGAAAAACCTAGATAAATAAAATAGAATCCCTTGAGTAATGCTTCTGGAAAAAGGGAAGTAAAACCACACTGGAAGTGTTTCCTCATAAGCTTGTTGCTGTCTGTGGACAGTTCTCTAGTTTATGCAGAGCTCAGGCTCTTCTCGATTTAAGCTTTGGGGTGGTATCATTGTATGCATACCACACAATTGAGTACTTAGGGGTTGTTTTCTTTATGTCAAATAAACCTGTGAGCAAAACAAGACTAAAGATAACTTGTTTTCCAGAGTGAGTTGGTTGGCTGTACAAATGCAGTCCTTAGAAATGGAGGAATCCTAGGTAGCTTGAAGCCGTCTTGCTGACTAGCAACACAGGTCAGGACAGTTTTAACCTAGAGAGTCACCCTTGCAGGTCTGTGACAGCAAATCTTACAAGAGCAAGGAGTCCCTTGAGTTGGTGGGGAGTAGCCCCCTCCAAGAGGCCAATTCTATGCCTGGAAATAAGGAGGCAGGACAAGGCAAGGACATACTGGAAGAGGACGCCCTGGAGGAGCAGGAGAACACTGAAGCAACCCAGAGTAGGACCGGCAGGACCACCAGGAAGGGAGAGACACCCATGCCAGGTGAGTAACCTGACTGCCACGCTGTGACCTTCCCTGTTTGTTTCTGAGGAGTTCTTACACTGCAGGAAACTTCCCGTTCATTTCTCTCACATAGTTAGAACTGTGTTACAAAGTGTTGGTGGTGCACACCTTTAATCCCAGCACTGTGGCAGCAGAGGCAAGCAGATCTCCGTGAGTTCAAGGCCAGCCTGATCTACAGAGCTAGCTAGTTCCAGGACAGGCTCCAAAGTAATACAGAGAAACCCTGTCTCAAAAAGCAAACAAACAAACACAACAGTAAAACAGAGGCTGGATGGGCTGCTCTTCCACAGGTCCAGTGTTCAGTTCTTAACAACCATATTGTGGCTCACGTCTGTCTATAGTGGAATCTGCTGCCCTCCTCTGGCATAAAGGTATACATGCAGATAGAGCACTCATGCATAAAAAAAAAAAAAAAAATAAAAATAAACAGATTCCCAAAATCTCCTAGGTGTGTGCCCTCCCTACTAACATTCTAACATAACAGCCATGCCCTCCTTTGCTGAGTGGGTCCCCCATTATCTCCAGCAGTCTTTCCAATGGAACGGTGTTCCAGTAGCTCGCCAGTGACTTGTGGTTGTCAGTGTACCCTGACCCCCATATTCCTCCTAAGCAGGGTCAACAGTAGGGAGTGCTTTGCCGTGCTCTGCAGAAATGACTCCCATGGAACAGCCCTCGGAGGGCCAGACACTCTGCTCACCAGAGACCCCCCGACTTCCCCCTCAGACTGGAGCTGTACTCTCCTCTGTCAGAAGAGACCAGGCTGGGCCTGAAGTCTCCTGTCTTGGTACATCCACCATACTTGCTGTAAAAGGGGAGGATCAAAAGGCTAATTCAGAGACTACTGTGCCACTCCCAGATGCATCAGAAACTGAAAAGCTGCAAGGCTTTGTGGAGATCCCTGCTGTTCTGCGGAGTCCTGTTTCCTCAAGGACCAGTGACACAGGAAGAAGACACATACATGGGAAAGCAGGTACTCAGAGCTGGCTACTCGAGAACAGAGTGGAGGCAAAGACAACCCATATGATGGCACCTATCTGTGGAACGCCATCAGGAGTTGATACCTCAGAGGTCACGCCCAAAGCTGCCAGAGGGGTCGTGGCTGAAGACAGAGAAACACAAGGCAAGGGGCCAGAGGGGCCTCTGCCAAAAGTCTCAGAAGCTACAGTCTGTGCCAACAACAGCAAGGTCAGCTCCACTGGGGAGAAGGTGGTACTGTGGACAAGGTAGGTAAAGCAAGCTGTGTTTGCAGAGGGTAACGCAGATCCAATAAGGTCCTGGGGGGCTAACCATGCTGCCTGGATTACAGGGAAGCCGACCGAGTGATTCTCACCATGTGCCAGGAGCAGGGGGCACAGCCTCACACCTTCAGCATTATCTCTCAGCAGCTGGGAAATAAGACTCCTCTTGAGGTGAGGTGGGAAGGGAAATATGGGAACTAAGGCAAGAGGATGGGACCAATGGCATTTACAGTTGTAAGAATTTTTTTTTTTTTTTTTTTTTTTTTTTGCGGGGGAGGGGGGAGGGGAGGAGGGAACAAGGATTCTCTGTGTAACAGCTCTAGTTGTCCTGGAATTCACTCTGTAGACCAGGCTAGACTTAAAATCAGAGATCCACCTGCCCCTGCCTCCCAAGTGATGGGGTTAAAAGGCATGCCACCACTGCCTGGCTCATAAGAACTTTCATGGCAGTAGATGTTTATTACAAAGGTTGGCCTGAAAAAAGGCTTGACCTGTCAGGGTGGGTGTTCTTTTTCTTTTTTAAGACAGGATTTTCACTACCTGTCCTTAAACTCAGGAACCCATCTTGTCTCTGTCTCTAGATTGCTAGAATTAAAGGTATGTATCACCAAGTCTGGAGGAAAAGAAAAAGGCTCTAGTTGTGTTCCCTGAAGAACACAACTTTGTCTGTGGTTTTCTCCTGTCTATACAGAAGATGCAACCTTTGATCTCACTCTTGTGTACAAGGGGGTACCCAGTTCATCATAAGCAGACTAGAACAGTGAGCACAACCCTTTCCCTTCGCTAGGTTTCCCACCGTTTCCGAGAGCTCATGCAACTCTTCCACACAGCCTGTGAGGCCAGCTCTGAGGATGAGGATGATGCCACCAGCACTAGTAATACAGACCAGCTCTCTGACCATGGGGACCTGCTGTCTGAAGAAGAGCTGGATGAGTGAGACCGGGGGAGGTATGGTGTCATCTGCCAGGACCAACCCAACTGTTGTGGAGACCTTGATCTCCTTCTGTGGAGCTAAGGACAGAGTCGGTCTGGAGATGGCTGTGCGGCCTGTGTCTCTCAGGGACTTCAATGAAGACCTTACATACCCAATCTGTAAATAGCATTGAAGGAAAATGGGCCTTGGCTCTTTGGTGATCTCAGTGGTTTTAAATGTACAAATGCCTATGTCAAGTAGCAGGACCCACCACACGGGGTTCCTGCACCTGGCAGCTTTTATTATAAATTATCTCCCCAATACCCTTCCCTGGAACTTCAGTTTGAAAGGCTGTCACCCTCCTGGTAACACTGGGCCAGGCTGTGTAAGTCCTGTAGCAACTCCTCCATGTCATCCTGCTCCACCCCAGCGTCCATGAAGCTAGCCCAGCGCCGCAGATCAAGTCTGTTGAGCTCTTCAGCCAAGTCTCCCAGGGTCTGGTGCAAGGATGAAGAGGAGCGCAAGGCCCCAAACACAGGGATGCTTTGCACTGCTGCAGAGGGAGAGAAAAGGGAGTGGACTAGAGTCTGCTCTGGGACTCTTGTACTGATGAGCACATCTGGGACTTGGTAGAATGATTGTGAAGTACAGCAGTAAAGTGTGTTTGCTGTCCCTAGTGTGTCAGTACCCCAGGAGCTTGTAGTCAAGTAGAGGAATGCTCAACTGTGAACTTTTTTCTTTAGCACTTTTAATCGAGAAAGAGTAAAACCACTCCTATGTAGCTGTCCTGTCTTCATGTCCTACCTGCACACTTGGGGGGACCGTCCAGCGCTATCCCCTTGTGACTACAGCTTGAGAAGAGGTGTGGGTAAGGAGGAGCCACTTTACAGGGGGTCCGCAGCAAATGTGATGAACTGTAGGCAGAGAATGGTGGCTCAGAGCAGGGAGGCGCAAAGGCTGCTGGCAGTCCGAGGAAAGGGCAAGTGCTGTACTGACCTTAAGACTCTAGGATGCTGATGTTGTAAGTACTGGGCCAAGACTTCTTCTCCAGAGGCACATGCATGGAGAGCAGAAGGCAAGGGTGTCCCTGCGTTGAGCTTACTGACAGAACAAACCAAACCCATATTTACTCTTTGGTTGTATGAATAGAAGCTAAGAATTCTTACATTCTTGAACCATCAATTCAATCAATCTAAAGCTGCCTTTTTTTTGGGGGGGGGGGTAATGTTAGGCAGTGATAGTAGGAAGTATACCATTAGAACACCTAGACATTAGGGAGACAAAGTCATATGAGCAAGTCCTACAAGGGCCTCTAAGAAGCCAGTGCTTACCTGGTATGGCTTGCTCTGTCTATACCCCTCAGCACCACTGACTGGGCAAAGCATCGACTTCCAGCAGAATCCCCACAAGCAGACAGTGGGGTCCATGGAGTAGCTCCTCCAAGCTGCGCAAGGGTATCAGGAAGGGACTGGCCTGGAACCAGTGGAAAGGGGATGATTGCCTCTGCTGTCACCACCTAGAGACCAGGAGGTAGGAGGTTATGGAGCCTTTCCTCAGCTCTGGCCCTGCCTTTCGAAAGCTTCTTGGTTTTGTTTGTTTTTCAAGACAGGTTTTCAGTGTAGCCCTAGCTGTCCTGGAATTCGCTCTATAGACCAGGCTGGCTTCAAACTCACAGACACCTGCCTGCCTCTGCCTCCCAAGTGCTGGGATAACCACCACTGCCTGGCCCTCTAAAGCTTCTTACCTTTTTCCCAGAGAAACTTAGCAGATCAGCCAAATGAGACATGGGGACCATGGAGGAACGCAGGCGATAGGGAGCAGTGACTGTGTCCAGAGCTGTAGCCAGGATGGCGCTACAGTGGAAGGGCAGAGTGGCCTGTCAAGTGGGACAGGAGGGGAACGCTGGGTTTGAGGGTGCGGAGAACCGTGTGGAGGCACAACAGTAAGGGAGAGGTCCAGGGAATGAAATAAGGTTCTTTGTCCTGAGGCTGGACAAATAGGGAGTGCTAAGAGGTAAAGTTCAAGCTGGGAACCCAACGTGGTGTTAGAAGTACTTCCCAAGTATGTGCTGAGTCCTAGGTTCAATCCCTAGCAACACATACACACCTGACACATGGCAGGGAGGGAGGGGGATGACAAACAGCCACAGTAAATAGAGGCTGACATAGAGTGAGCTTCGAGACTTACATCATATTGTAGGTAAGGGAAGCTGACAGGTGGCTTGGGGCGCAGGCCCAGGTTGCCTCCCAGGGATAAGGGACAGACAAAAGAGCTGTACCCAGTCAGGTGCACCAGACCAAATGCTGTGTTTAGGACACGAAAGATGTTTTTCTGGGGCTCCTGGTAAAAGAAGTGAGAATGGCTTACTCCACACAACTTCCTCCGTGGGGTCCTCTCCTTCCCACCAATTCTGCTGCTTTTCTTCCAGCTTCTACTCACCCCAAGATTGTAGGGACCAGGGAGCAGACCCCATGTTATTACTCCCCGGCCTGAATACTCATCTTGTAGTAATTCTGCAGTTTTAGCACCTACTCCAGAGAAGCCATCATGTAGGTCACATAGGATCTGGAAGCCCTGAAGAGATGAAGGCCAACAGAAAGTAGGCTGTAGGATGGGGAGAGCGTCTGCCCCAGCATCCACCTTGTCACACAGCTACCTGCAAGAAGTCACATTCCTCCACAAAGAAATGCAGTCTGTCCTCCAGCTCTTCCAGGTATCTGGGTTCCTTCAGGACACTCTCCCCTTGGCCAAAGGCCTCCAGCCGACCTGTTTCACTACCAAAAATCACCATGATAAAAGACTCAGCCTGTCCTCAACTCCCCAGTCTGCTGTTTGGTGGAGGGCAGGCGAGGCTGGCTCCATCCTTATCCAGTGTGTTGGTGGGACCTAAGCTTTGTCTCACAGCCTCTGGAGTCCCATACCCATCATGGTTGTACTTCTGAATCACACAGATGCTCCGAGGGTGGAGATGCACTCTGAGGAAGTCTGACCAGACTCTGATGTTGTTCTCTGTGGGGATAAATGGTTTTGGATTTGTACCGGGGATGACTAGCGGGCAGCTGAAGAAAGAACAGATGAGTTGCATCATCCCTGCTCTGTTGAGTCTCCAGTGTCAAGGGTCACCTCACCTTTGCCATTTTGGAGAGGTTTGGCCCTCCAGATACCATCAGTACTCAGCACTCCCTGGGAGGGGTGAGAAAAGTGACATTTGGTTCTCGTTAGTTCTCTGCTGTGGGTTCATCTCTATGTATGTATGTGTATATGTGTGTGCCATGAGAGTTTATGTGCACCACATGCATGAGGTGTTCAAAGCTAGAAGAGGGCATTATATCCCCAGGAACTGGTTACAGGCTGTTTTGAGCTGCCAAATGGGGGCATTGGGAACTCTGGAAAAACAGCTAGGACCCAAACGTGTGTTTTCCAAAAACGAGTGTTGCTAAGGCCTTTACAGTGACTAGCATCCCAGTTTTCTGCTCAATGCAGCTACTTTGCCTGTAGTAGGTTTGAAAGTTTGGGGCAGAGCCCATCACCTCTGCACTCAGAAGGTCCTGGAGGTTAGGGTTCTTTGGGTAAGCTTCTTCTCTGTGTGTGGTGAGCTTTCCTTGCCTGAAAAAGAGTGGAGATTAAGCAAAGAGAGTGACCCTCTGATGATCTCTCGAGCCTTCTGTGCACATACACTGGATCCCTTACCCCCTTTCACACATCAGATACACACCATGCTACTGCAGCGTCTAGCTGTCGGTCCTTGTAGAGGCCACCTTCTTCCTTTAGTGAATTCAGACTGCCTGAACAGAAATGAAAGACAAGCTCAAAGCCTGGAGCATAATCTCCCTCCCTCAGACTAATCTGATCCATGTGTTGCGGCAGTGTCTCTCGTACTGGGCAAAACTTTTTGTTTTGCTTTTGAGATGATGTCTCCTATGTATCCCTCAGTGGTTGAGATGATGCCTCCTATGTATCCCTGTGTAGACCAGGTTGGTCTTGAACGCAGAGACCTACCTGCCTCTGCTGGGTTTAAAGTCGTCATGCCCAACCGCGCCGAGCAATGCTCTTGGCTTTTAGAACCATACTTGGTTATACGTTAGAAGGCATGGGCAATCTGGACTCTTATCTTTCTATCAATATCTGTGATTCTGTGTGAATGCAGCAGCTTAACAGTATGCTGCCCATTCTCCCCCATTCCAGAGTCAGCTCTTGAGTTGAATAGTCTGGCCTTTCCGTGTCCTCGGGGGTTTGTCTCCAGTGTGGGTTCTGAAGTGAACTAATGATAGGGCCTCACACGCAAAACGGGAAAACTCGGTTGAGCTCCGCCACAGCCTCACCTTTGAGATCCATGAGGATGAGTCGCGGCGTATAGGTTTCCTGGCCATGCAGCGTCCGGCCCGTTCGGTACAGGACGTCGGGGCACAGCTCCCCAAGCGACTCTTCGCCCTCGGTAGTACGTCCCAGCGCAGCATCCTGTAGGGTGCAGAGGACAAAGCGGAATGAGAAGGAGGGGCAGGGCCAAGTACCTTCCGCAGGGAGCGCGGGGCCGCCACTAGGGGCCTGACCTGCTGGTTCCACCAGTGTGCCCCGACGAAACCCGCGAAATGTCCCAACTGCAGCGTGAGCACCTCGCGGGCCCCGCCCGCCATACCAGCGCCGCTCCCCAGCACTCTACAGCCTCCGCGGAGCGCCTGGCCCCAGGGGGCGGGGCCTTGCCCTATTGGCTCTTGAGCACGTGCTTTCCCGTTGGCTACACGATTCGTTAGTCTCCGCTTCTCACGGCCCCGCCTCTTCCTCTCCTGGGTTGCCGGAAGCTGCTGCTTCCCCGCTGGCGTCATGCAGTTCCCTCTGCGCTTCCCTTGGCGCATGTTGTGGTCAATGTCATGGAAGATTCTCTCACCTGTTTCTATCACTCTTTATGCAGATGCCTCTCAGCGCCTAGCTAGTAATTCACATGAGGGGAAAAAAAAAAAAAAAACCTGATGAGGGACTGCACGCTCCTCTGAGTCCTCCCACTCTATTCCTTTCTCCACCCTGGCTAACCTAATGGGCTGGGTCCTCCATGAGCTTCTGTTACGTTGTAGAAAAGATTGTAGTCCCCTTCTTTCATGTACATGTAGCTCATCTGCACTTACTTTTTTATTGTTTTAGAAAGGTTCACTGTAGCCTCAGGCTGGCCTCAAACTCAGGTCCTCAGGCCTCTGCCACAAATAAGGCTGGGGACATTCTTTTATTTGTTTATAAGGTTTTTGGATATCCAGTTTACAAAGGATCTCAAAGCCTCATTTGTTAGCACAAACGTGTGGTCCCTGTTCTCGGAAGTGGAGGAGACCAGTTCAATTCTTAGTTCCATATCGAGTTGAAGGCCAACTTGTGCTACATGAGATCAAGTCTAACACACAAAACAAATACCCCCCCCCCCCCATACAGGGTTTATATGTGTAATGGCCCTGATTATGCTGGAACTCACTCTGTAGACTAGACTGACCTCGAAATCACAGAGATCCACCTGCCTCTGCCTCCCCAGTGCTGGGATTAAAGGCGTGCATCACCACCAACCGGTTAAATAAAATTATTATCCCGGAACCTCTTGCTGAATTTTTCCCGGCTGTCTCTGTGGAACTCCTAATCGTTGGAGCAGTGGCTCTTTTGACTGCTTTTGGAACCCTTTTCCTCCTATTGGGTTTTCTAGTCTAGCCTGAATAGGAGGGGAGGTGCCTAGACTCATTGCAACTTGATATGCCAAGTTTGGTTGATAACTCTGGGAGGCCTGCTTTTTTTCTGAA